CTCCGTCTGCAGAGCCGAGGCACTTGTCTATTCCTCCCAATCCCTTCTCCCCTGCTGCTTCCTCGCTCTCTTCAGTTTCTACAGTAGCTACTCTCTTCAGTGAATCACACCTCACGCTTTCCCCCTCTCCGTTGCTTTCTATCACTTCTGGCATCGTGGGTGTTGTCAGTGGCAACACAGCAACCACCACTAAAGCCTCTTCAAGGGCACTCTCCACGCAACTCTCTCCCACACAAGTTTGGCTGTTGGTGAGTGGGCTCCGATTCTCCTGTGTGCGTATCTCTGCCTCTGTGGTAACTATAGCCTCCTGTGTTTGTGCATCTGATCTCTGATCACCACAAGCAAGTGGATTGATAACTGCAGTTTGGACATATGTCATGGGTGTATTTTGGTTATTGATGACGTCTCCGGTTGCATGTTGCTTCCGCTCATTCGTGCCACATGGGGCATCCGTATGGTTGTGGTTATCTGACTGATGAGCCCCCTGCGTAGGAGTCTGGCTGGACGTAGGTGAACAGGCAGAGGCAGTAAGATGATCCTGCCCGCTCTGAGAGGATGATACTGGGGGGCTAGAGCTGGGCTTTCCCGTGGGACTCAGCTGTCGCTTGTAATCGAACCCATTATCAGGCTGTTCCCCACAAATCACAGCGTGATTGTCTGCCTGTGACGCTGATTGTACATTTGCCTCTGAGTCTGCGTGAATGCCTGCATCTATGAGTGACTCAGCCTGTAAATCACTTTCAGACTGTGCCGCTGTCTTCGCTCTCTGTTCAGCCTCTGCCTTCTTCTCCATCTTTTTCTTTTTCCTTTGTTTCTTTTTTTCTTTCCTCTTTGCCTCTTTGTCTTGCCCGGCCTGTCTGTCACTTGCTGAATTTGTCTCTTTGTCTGTTTTTGACTGATTCTCCTCAGTGTGTTTGCCGGTTTCTGCCTGTGCTCCTGACTGCGGCTCTGATAATGCATCTATATCCTTTAACTGAACATTATTACACCCTGATACTTCATTAACTGAATCACCTTTCTTTTCAGTTTCAGCTATGCAAACATTAATACTGCACTCATCACTATAATTTTCTCTCTTTATGTCTGCCATCTCTGTTATTGCCTCTCCGCCTTTATCTCTAATAACTGTATTACAATCTAGTCTGCCATTTTCCCCAGAGGCTGCCTGAGATTCAACATGTTCCTCTCTTAGATTGTGTTTGTGTTTGGTGAACGCAGCATCTTTTGAGGTTTCTGTAGGTGAAACTGTCTTTGTGGCAGTTTCTAATTGTGTATGCGTGGGTGTTTCCTTCTGTTCATCTGTCTCTGTCCCTGGCTTCTTCTCTGGACATTCATCCGGACTCTGTGTTGCTTTAATTTCACTCTCTGTTGCTCCGGCACTATTTTCATTTCCCAGTATGTAATTCCTGAAGCTAAACACAACTGTATCCTTCTGACTGTTTGCTGCCTCACTCTTTCCGTGTGTACTCTTGTTTCCATGGCCCCCGTTGCTATGTCCTGGCTGGACTACGACTGGAGGCAGTGACAATGACTCACTGGGCTTGTTAACCATCACATCTCCAGTTTTCTTCCCTACATTATGAACCATGTCGTGTCTGTTGCTGTGGTTCTCTGTGGGAGTAAGAATCCCCAATGAGGCCATTTGCTCTTCACATTCCTGGAAGGCCTGTTGGAGCTCACGGTCTATGAGCCCGAGTGGGGTAGGCGTCAGGGGTCGGACACCCGGGTAAAGTGTGGCATCGGGCTGAGGTGAGGGCCGGGCATCTGTGAGAACTGGGTCAGTGTCATGAGGCCTGAGACGAGGGTAGGGTGACAGAGTTAAGGAGTTAGGCCTGGCAGGCAGACAGCTGGTCATTCCACGATGCCGCAGAGCGCTGCTATTGGCAGAGCAGAGGCCCATGCTCCACACACTGCAATCACACAACTGTACTCAGCATGCCTATTCTGAGAGGTGCACTCCCTTACAAGAAATAATACCAGCTGTTTCCAAGCATATGGTTGTTAATGAACATGCAAGCCTGTTCATACACAACAAAACACACGGTTTATTAAGGCATTAATCTACATATTATAGCACCTATGCAGCTTTCCAATGCATTGCAGTTTCAAGCTTTTATTGCAAACTCCTCAGCAACAAGGCTTGAAATATTATTTCCCCATTTTGATGTGACTGCCTGAATTTCTAATTTTACACTCAACCTCATATTTCAGTGTTTTGTATATATTTTTCACCATTATTCATCTTACGTTTAGTATCATAAAGGATCTGTGTCTTGTGTTTTTTTATGTTGCTTGTCTGTTTTTTTTTCCTATGCATCAATGAGGTGCAGCGCTCCTAAATTCATTGTATGCAGAGCTTACAATAACAATAAAGGCTTTCTAATTTAAATTTCTACCAAAAGCTAAACCATAAAAAGTAGTTTGATTAAAATTATTTGATTGATTAATGATGTATCTGAACAATGCTTTGTAGTATGTATGGACATAGTACACGCTATGAAGAGTCTTGACTGTGATTATGTATACAGTATATACAATACTGTCTCTTTCATCCTGATCACAGTAATGAATCCTCTTTTGGTTTTAATTCTACAATACAAATTTGATCTAAAGGATAGTGATTATTAAACTGTAACTGTGAATGCTAAATGAACTGCGTTGTTTAAATAATTACAGCCTTATTGTTTTTCCCAATATACAAATTCTGCCTCACAAATCAGACATCAAAGCAGTGACATCACCCTGCACGACACTCCCTGAAGTGCACAGTTAGCATCACAATGTTAGAGTGTTTGGAATAAATGCCTTTAACAATCAGGCTAGCTCTTCACGTTTCAGCTGAGTCACTGCTAAGCCATTAGCTTGCAGTACAGGAAACGGAGTGGGGTGATCTTAACCATTAAGTCCCATTAAGTGTATAGATCCATCATCATTATTTAGGTTTATAACCTACACTTCTACTCAAGTCACCAGCTGGTATCTGGAAACCACATCTCCTCATCTGTTTTTCTAATACATGCAGCAACCACTATGACAAAAGTCATGATTCATGTCCAGATGTAAATAAATAAATAATATCTCTTTACAAACATTGCTGCATGTGATTGGCTTATAAAGACCTTACATGACTGCTCCATAAAAGCTCTGTCATTTCCTTGTAAGTACAAACTCCATCTACAACATCTACACCTATCACCTCACCAACCTGCCACTCAAGCCTGTGCAGTGTTTAATTCACTTGGCACTCCCTATTGAAGGGTGGAGCAGCAAATAGATTTAACTGTTTGAAGCCAACAACTTTTGTTATGCAGCCAGCTGTTGCCTATCATATCTACCTGAGACAGTGTATGTGTGCAGTGAAAGTTTTCACAAGACTTGTTTTAAATTCATAGTTTTACACAACAAGCAATAATAATTATATGTCTGCACTGAGTCAGTATGTCAGAACAAATGAACCTCAGCACACGCACAAAGCAGAAGACAAAGCAACACTTGCATCAGAACATAGAGCAAATCTGCAGATAATTCACACAAGCATGAAACAAAACAAAAAGACCAAGCCAGGTGTGCTCAGACAGACAACACCCAAACTTCTCCAAATTCATCACACTCAAGGATAAGTTAGAAACACTCGATCATCCTGTCAGGTTTTTGTTCCACTCCATGCTCCCTGGTTTTAATCTTTATCGAGCAGTCTACTGCTGACCACATGCCCACACGCCCTGCTGTTCCCCCAGCCCCCACCATGCTCTGGGCCTGAGTCCGCGTGGTACCTTGTCTCTAGGACCACCAGTGGTCGACCGACTTCCATGTGATGCTGCAGGCCCGCCAGCAGGGGGTTCACCTGCTCACATTTCCTCTCACCTGAGCTAGTCTTAGCTCTGCACACATTCACACACAATGCAACAAATCAATATCAGATTCACTTTCACCTTGACTGAGTAACTGGTACAAATCTGTTCCCTTAAAGTCATAAATCAAACAAAATAAATACACAAGACATTATTTTACAGTAATGCAATACTGGTATGACATATATTGATGGATGGTGTGTCTAATTACTACAGTATAATTTTTACCTTGGAAAATAACCAACATGATAATATAAACATTAAGAATAATACAGTGCTTATTGTGATCAAATAAAGTTAGACTTCTGAATGCCAGTTGAAACTACAGCTACAATCACACTGTAATTATGCCTCTCACCCAATGCATGCTGGGATAGGCTCCAGTCCCACCATAATCTTCAAAGGGAATATAAATATTCATCTGCCTGATTGACAGATTTCTGACACATTGTAACTCAAAGGCCACAGTCAGTTTCAAATCTTGAGTATTTCTCCATAACATTAATATTTTCTACTAAATTAAATTAAATAAAAGTTCAAGCTCTGTGGATATTATTAAGAGTTTAGTACTCAAAAAATCAACAACTACGACAACTGTCATCACATTTTGATCTATATGTCGCTAAACTTATGTAATGTCACTTTTTTCCTGCTGAACCCTGCCCACTTTAAAACAGTCAGAAAATCAAGGACAAACAAATCAAACGTAGATATCCTTCATGAGACTGCAGGCTCGTGTTGAACCTCATTGCTCATAATAGGAAGCTGATTGAGAACATTTGTTTTCAAGGCCAAATTAGTCATGCTACACAGTGACAGCAAATTTATTGTGTATCTACCATAGAGAATCCAAGAACACACTGGTTTCTATCTCCCTTGTTTATATTTTTCTCAGGAAGTAGACAAGGAATGCAAACAACTGTAGCTGTTTAGATGATTCACACTTCCTCAGAACTCTAACAGTCACCAAAAGACAAATAGTAACTCATCTTTCCTCTATCTGTGATATCGAGTTGGTTTCATCTTGTCATTACCTGCACAATTGTGAATGCATGCGTATATGTGTGTGTGTGTGTGTGTGTGTGTGTGTGTGTGTGTGTGTGTGTGTGTGTGTGTGTGTGTGTGTGTGTGTGTAACCTCTAAACTTACCCTAGTGAGGACTCCCAGATGTTGAGCTCACTGCTGAAGTCTAGACTGGGCAGCAGGTCATGGGGAAACTCAAGCTCCTCCTTGTCCTCCTGGTCTCCAGCTGCACCTTTGCTCTCCTCCACTCCCGTGATGACTGGCACGTCTGGGAGCACCGGTTGTGACGACAGAGTCTGCTGGCTGGTCGAGGCGTCAGCTGTCAGCAGCGCTCTGTCGTCCCTCTGGGTCAAGCTCTCAGCGTGAGCTTCAGCCTGTGGGACAGTGAAACACAGTGAGCTACATGCCGGAGCCTCTGCTGTGCTGTGCATGGTAGAGTGTGTATTAAAAACAAGTGTGAACATGTTGCGGGCAAACACGGGAACACCGACAGATTTAAAGGTCAAAGCCAAAGATCATGAAAAAATAACTCCACCCATGTGTTCAACTATCAAGTCAAGTATTGTTTGTATCATAATGCATAGCTCATATAGACTGGAGTGTGCATCTTCCACTCAAACACCTTATCAATGTCTTTCAACTTGTTTTTCTTATGTTGTTATTGAAATTTAAAGGATTATTTCCAGCGTATAGAATTCATGCCAGGCTCGCTGCATGAGCCTGATCTCTGCAGCTTTGTTTGCACTCTACCCTTGAGAATCACATAACTACTATTCTGAAGGGAAAAAAACAGCTAATTAATTCAACCCTTTGGTGTTTTCCACCTGAAACTTTCACAAGGAAGACTGCGATCATGTTTCTTCTGAGGGTGTCAAAACATTTTTACCCAGCGAGCAAAAACAGCCATTACAGAAAAACCAGTCCTGCCAGACTGTGACAAGCATAATCAGACATGTGGTTTAATAATTGTCTAGAGTAGATCATTCTGATGGCATTTTAAGTCTTTTAATAATTTTCTTTATCTGGATTAAATAATTAACATGGCTCTTTATTTCAGTTGCTTTCATAAACAACCTGAAAAGAACAAACACAAAAGATGATTTCATCTATCTAGAAATCTCGTTTTTCTTTCTGTTTCACTGTCGAACAAACCAAAGCATCATCTTGCAGCAACACACAACATTCAACCGCGGACCCTCTATGTGATGGAATTTCTTCCACATACCTGTAGATCTGCCTCAGTTTACAGAGGAGGAAAGTTTCCCCTTATTTCACCCTCACTCACCCGCTCAGATACAAAACCTAGGTGTGTCCAGGTGCAGGGCAAAAACATCTGCACGTGCGAGGACACATGCAGACGTGCAGCCCTTTAACATTCATTACATCTGGAACATGTGTGTATGAGCTGCTTTGTCCTGAGAGAGCCTGCTTTTAGTGAATCGCGGTGTGTGAGCACAGAGGGATATAACACGGCTGTGTTGTCCATCAAGAGTCTGCTGAGATTCAGAATTGAATCTGTTCATTCATTATTTATGAGCCAGTAGTAGACAGCATGGCTGCGCACATACAGAGCTGACTATCATGACCAGTGGATATTAATATTAACTCAGATATCAAATATATGTATAATATATTAATATATATATATTAATATATTAGTTTTATATTTTAAGGTCATTATTCTTATATTAATGCAACAAAAATATTTTAAAGTCAAATTTGCATCACACTGATAAAATTAAAAAAACAATCAAATGTTGTAGCTACTCTTCCCTCATGGTGGAGTCACTACAAATAGTCCCCTCTTGCTCCAGTTTCACCTCAGTGATGTGGTTACAGGGTGCAGTTACTGAGTGCAGATTAACAGGTACAGCTCTGTGTGTGTGTGTGTGTGTGTGTGTGTGTGTGTGTGTGTGTGTGTGTGTGTGTGTGTGTGTGTGTGTGTGTGTGTGTGGGTGTGTGTGTGTGTGTGTGTGTGTATAACAGGGAGGCTCCAAGTCACTGGCCTCACCTGTGTCACCACTACAAAGAGCTTCCTTTGTGTGACACACTCAACACAGATGGAGGCTCCCTCTGATTTCTCACAAACATGAACATTTGCTCTCACGAGCACAAGACCAACAAACAGTTCACATCTTGACTGTGTGCTCGGCCTTCAAGACTGACTTTACAAAAAATGTTGGCCAATGATGTGCAGCCTCCCTCCTCACATCTGTAAAGCTCAAGCCACATGAAGTTATTTTTAAAGGCACTATTTTAGTGCTATTCTTCCTTTCAAAGGAAACCTGCCAACACATTTGGTTGCGGAAAAAAAAACATAAAACATTTAAGAACCACAGAGAGAAAGAAACAGAACCCAATAAAAAAAAACTTCTGCAGGTAAGAGTGTCACTCTGATGTCTGTGATCTACCTACTGTTTATTTTCTCTATTAATGTTACACAATCAGATAAAAAAAATCCCTCCACACCTCAGCAGTCATGCATGCAGCGATGACCGCCGTTGTATCATACGAAGGCTGTATGTAGACGTGATCTAGGTTTCCTGTTTCCTGCCTGAACTCTCACATTGTCAGAGAGGAAAGAATAAATATATTATGCAGACAGCTAACAGACTAAATTCTACACTGCACAATGAGGAGCAACAACAGTAAGCAAAGCATGGCCCAAGTTCACAGCCAACACTCATTCACCACATTATTGGCCCTTTAAAAGGTCATTAGCAGGGTCATTGTAAAAACCATGTGGAGGTGGAAAAGCTCAGGCTTCCTCTCAGTTATTCTGACCCTCACACAGAAAGCAATGTCTGTTATTAATTAACCCGCAAGAACAAAACAGAAAGCAAACTGAGGTTGCCTGGAAACTGTCAGTGAGTAATACTTACTGTTAATTGAACGTGTCAGTATCACTGTGCTAACAAAGCTCTAATGCTTTACACATGACCGTTGTAAACAGAGAGAGGACGGTGCTAAGCAGGAGCAGGCCCTCACATACACACAAACATTAAACACTCTCTCTACCCTGTGTAAAATAATACACATCTCTACCCTACAAGTTCCGTCCCACCATCTCTTTGCTGCACTTACCCGGCAGTGTGCTCCACTGTGCTGAAGGTGACTCCACAGTGCACTGCAGCTCCTCTGCTACCCTCCTACCTTGCTCAGTGTACGGGTAGCCTCTGTGTTTTGAAGGGGGCAGACGACGACACAAACATGCTGCAACACATGCTGCTGACACTCCTCGTCCTCTCCTGTACTGACTCAGCTAAGTTCCTCCTCCTCCTCCTCCTCCTCCTCTCCACAGTCCTGTACTGTCCTCTGCTGCTGCCGCTCCCCTGTTAAATTTCCATGAACCTCCTGTTTTTTGCAGTGTGTGTGTGTGTGTGTGTGTGTGTGTGTAGAGTCAAGAAACACTACACTACCACGCACTAACAAACACAGTGTGCTGCTGAGACTGACTGACTTGACTGGGCTGGCCACAGGGAAGTGCTGACAATTCTCCTCCCCCTCTCCTGTAAACTCTTTCCACTCAGCTCTCTCCCTATCCCCTCCTCCTCCTCCTCTATCTCCCTTCCCTCTTTTCTTTCTTCAGCCCTTCCCTATCCACCTCTGCTCCAGCCTCCTCCCCCCTTCCCTTGCTGCTGTGCCTTCTGGCCTGGTTGCACTCACTGACTGACAGTGCCTCTGCAGGTGAATGCTGGGAATTAGGCCAAGGGTCGGACCTGCAGTGACCCCCTCAGAGAGGATCAGATTACACTCCAGGAAGCTTTGGTTACAGGCACACATGGGCACATGCACACAGAGATACACAACATCCTCCTGCAAGATTGAAGCACCTTCCTCATCTGACTCTGACCTCTGTTGCTGAGGTGTGACATCATTACTGTCTTCATCAGCAGGGGAGACCGGGGATGGTAATAACATTTTTGACATTTCTGTTTGTATCTTTGAGCTTTTTTAAGCCAGTGTGTTCAAAATGTAATTTAAACTAGTTACGTGTGCTATTAAATGGTGTAGGTGTTATCTCTGCAACACAAACAGAAAATGCATGGTTTAGTCTCAAACACAAGGAGTCAAATGTTGCAGTTCACCGCACACTCCAGGTTAGCTTTAACATATCCTGGGCTGAAATGTAACATTATAATAAACACTGGTGTGACATGCAACATTATGATTTAGGATTATGACCTAATATTGAAAGCTTTATATTCATCACTTATTTGACTTATCATTGTGTGTGAGCCAAGTACGTTAGCTACTGTCAGTCATAGTAGTGATAAGACATTTGAACTTAATAATAAAGCTGAACAAAATGTGCAAATGTGCACCAGCTTCAACAATTGCAAATTTGTGTGTGTGTGTGTGTGTGTGTGTGTGTGTGTATTGTTGTTACAACTAAACAGACTCGTGTAGCCACGACCTAGCTTACCTTACAGCTTACAGCTAAAACATTAGCACTGGCAACTAGCATGAAAGATATCTACATAGACGCACAATAAACATTGTTTAAGTTTGAGGAGTTTAACGACAAAGCAGGCAGTGCTGTTACAAAAATAAATATAAAATATGAAGTAAAAAATAAAAATAAAGAACTGTCTTACCTCAAAATTAGTTTTTTCCTTCTAAAATTGTCTGTCTGCCACAGGGTGCTATACTTCCTCACATGTAGAATAAGGTCTAAATTGAGTATCTTTAGAGTGAATCAGGTGATTCATAACTTGGTCCTAAGTGGAGAAATTGGAGATGTTACAACTGAGCAATGATACAACCATCCCAGCTCTACCCTACACATGGACATGACAGCTCCACCACTCACCATTTAAACTACCAGCTTTACTCTTTACTGGCTCTAAGTCAAGAAACTCAAGCATACATGTTCATCTGTGGCTGATTTTCACACGATATTAAACTATCCACTTTATTAGCATTATCTTCTATGGATTTTTTTTTTTAAATCATGATGATGTCAAATAGAATACAAATAAACCACATCTAACTGCTCACCTGTACAGCCAAACAAATGTGTTTCCTGAAGGGATAATGATAAACGTGGAGGGGAAATTTGTCCATTTTGACTGTATAACGCTTTGCCCCTCAGCCACACTGCACAAGTTTAAAGACGAATTTTCTGATTCAAAATACCAACAGCAAGCAGGGAGGAAATTTCGGTATTTTCATAATTTCTATGAAAAGCTTTCACACTCACACACATAAGCACACACACAGATATTTTACCTGTAAGGAGTCATTTTGATTTCCCTGTGGTGGAAATAGAACAACATTTTCAGGAGCGCCCTCTTCTGGCTGCGATGGGGAGTGACAGAGTTCAACAACAGATCTTTATAGGGTAAATACCTCTTGTACATGAAGTATATACCTGCAGTGGTATGCACTAATGAACTGAAAACAAATCACCATTGTATTTTGAGGCAAAAGCAACAATGTTAAACCTCACACTGCAAACATGCCTTATGAGTTCTAGTGTGCATGGTCTGTGGAGTGTATAGCTCATGAGACATATGTTTATGTTAATCGTATTAAAATAATCCTGAATTCCACTGCTGCAGTCACATGTGGACTGTTTTCTATAGAAGTCTTTTTTTTAAAGAAAAAAAAAAAATTCTTCAAACAAGTTAATTGCAACAATAGCTGTACATGCAAACTGGAGGCGTACAGAATGACCATCCAACCATCATAGGAATGATGGATTTTATAAGATGCAACAAATCAAGTTTAGGAGTATCAGAGTGTGGAGCCGTAAACATAGATCGTGGCACAGTCATGGCATAAACATGTAATGCTGAACTCTGGTCTACACAGATTAACCATAAAAAAGAACAAAGCATGTTATCTGAATGCTTATTAGACAAGCCTCAATTAAGCATAGGAATGTACACAAAGTCTGCAGCTCCCATGTGTTTTACTGAAGCCAGCAGTTTGTAATCATGCGAGTAAGTGTTAGTTTTGTTAGTCGTCCGTGCATGAAAGAGTTCAAGGGATGTAGAGCGTAGCAGCACAGGGGGGGCCGCAAGTAGCAGTCCCAGCAAACCAGTGCCAGCAAGCTTGGCCTTACCAACGCGTCAGTCGTGCTGTTCTCGTTCCCCATGGCTCAGACACCTGCAGGGCCACAACTGCCCAAAGAAACAGCCCCTCACATCAGCTGGCTGAAAGACACCAGCACAGAAGGACCATCAGCATTCAGCCATCCCCGGGTTTAACAAAAGAGAGACCGAGAGAGAGAGAGGGGCAGAGTGAATAGGGGAGCCGTGGTCCCTCAGTAGTCACAGACTCATGCTCCACAGGATTACAGGTCTTTGGTATGAGGTTGAACTAGCAGGGAGAGAGAATGGTAAGTGTGCGTGTTGTTGTGGAGATTAGGGACCTGTGAGGCAAGACCCCCTCCTCCCCCCCAAGACCAAAGTGCAGGCTGTACCTCTCCTGATTGGGGCTTAAAAGCAGGAAAAACAGCATCTTCAGAATAACTAATATGTGATTATAAAAGTGGATTCTGCAGTTTACTTTAATGGTACATTAAACAAATTCAACTTCTGCTGCAATACATACATAACCATGACCACCCCCGACCCTCCCTCTGGTCTGAATGGCCCAGAATAAGAAGATCTACACCTGCAGTCTGCCACTTTGTGCTTGTGCATGTGATGTGACTGCAGCATACTGACACAGTGACTGAGGCTGGGTAATCCCGTAACATAATCCTCGTGGGGTAAATGACAGATTGTGGTATCTTTTGGCTTCCAGCAGTGTTCAGTCTGTTATTGAACACGAGGAAGGGTCAGGGGAAAATAAAATTAATCCAATTTGTCATCTCTATATATATTTTAGAAAGAAGTTGAAGAACAGCACAGCAGCTTTTATGACCCTACCACTGACAGCCTGCTTTCTAACTCTCACATGAACTTTCTTGAATGCAGTGCAGCTGAGCAGTAAACATACAGCGCCATAGAGAGGCTGTGTGTGCATTCCTCATATGACTGTAGGGACTGTGTTTAGTCAGAAAGCACTGACCTGAATATGTGAGACTTTATAAATAGAGATCTAGCCGGTCCACTGCTGTTAGACTTTATTCCAGTGTTGTGCACAATTTGTCATTCAAACTTCATATCAAATGTAGAGGCTGTATATTCCATTTATGAAGCACTAAATATTTTTTTCTTTTTTCTTTTTTGACTCTTGAATTATCTTTAGATTGTGAGGAACGGCCGGGTCATTAGAAAACAAATATCTGTTTTTCCTCTTATATTCTGTAGTGTGTCGGCTCATCTCCCGTGCCTGCCTGCTTGCTATTTGTGTGAATGGGGTGTAATTTCAGCCTGCACACTGTGGACGAGTGTGCACTTTAACTGGCAGCAGTCAACGCACTGGGGCAAATCATATGATTAGACTGTTGCCAGGTCTCTTCTCACCTCATCATCAGCCCGTCCATCACTCAACATGATCCATCTTTTAAGCCCTTGGGGTTTGGATGAGCACTGTGTGTCTTTGCTTGGACACCTACAGGATGAGGTTACTGTTTCCTGGCCGGGATCTGACCCCTGCACTGGCATGAGAACCCAGCAGGAACACAACCTCCAAACTAAAACGAATGCTGCATTTTTAATGTAAATTTTAATAGCATTAATATAGTTATAATATAGATTATATAATTCAGCAGGGTAGGAGAGCAAGGAAAACAGGTGAACATACTGTGCAGTGGATGAATCCCCCTGGCCGAGGTAACCATAGTAAATACATTCAAATCGTCACACTACATTGAAACAAAATGTTAACAAAAGCGAAACACAGTCAGACAAATTTCAATACAAGCTTTAACAGTCACCACAATTTAACCTTTTACCCTCCATTTTCATAAATTGACTCTCCTCCATCTGAAGGGCGACTACAAACCAAACAAATAATCCAAAATCTGTGCTGCAGCTCATGAACTACTCACCACTGCAAACAAGAGACTTTTCCACACACAGTGTCTGCCTCAAGCTTTTGACAAACCCCCTCCAATCTGTTTACTGTCGGACCCAAGGCCAATGTTTGTTTCTGTCCTCTCTCTTCTGAGGAGCCCCGGTCTCTCTGTAGCTATTTTTGCGTTGCACGTTGGGTGGGAGGAGAGGACGGCGGGTGGACACCGGACAGGAACAGAAGTGGGGGACAAGACCGAGGGGAGGGGTGGAGACTGAACTGGAGCTGGGGAAGCCATGTCTGTTTCAGGGTGGTACCGTAGTGTGTGTGTGTGTGTGTGTGTGTGTGTGTGTGTGTGTGTTTGGGGGGTGGGGGGGTGTTTCACCTGCTCTGACAGGCCCGCCAATCAGCTGGAGGGGGCAGTAGTTCGAAGGCAACACTGTAAACAAACAGGCACGCTGCATGGACAGGAGGACCAGGTGTCAGGCCTCCTAGCTCCTGGAAAAGGCTGCACACGCTGTTCTAATATTCATCCCACCTGTAGCTTTGCTTTACATCTCTCCAGACCTTTCACATGCATTCATCATCTCATCTTCATCATGGGGGAAGTCTCCCTCCTCCCTTTTTCTCCGTAGATTTGGCAGAAACACACTCGCACTCTCACCACACACCTGCTGTAACAATAGAAAAACAAAGCAGCCACACAAACAGGAACACAATCTGCAGATGTATTTTGGATCCTCTATTATCTGCCATCATCACAGGCCACCTTCAGCTGAGTGCCCAGTCTGAGGAGAGAGCTGGCTTATCATCCCTATAAATAACACTGATCTGATCAGCTCTGTTTCTGACACACATCACAGCACACTCTCAGCAGAAACATCCCTCCTCCTTCCTCAGCTGCCACTCAGGGCTTTTGTCTAAATGAATCTAATACATGTGCATTTTCCATTCTCTTCAGGATTTGTCAACGTGGCTTCCATCTTCCTCCACTGCAATCAGTGTCACCCTCTCACCCCTTTATACTCAGCTCCTCCCTTCCTCACCCCCTGCTCTGCTTCTCCTCAGCTCCTTCTCCCTGCTGACGTCACCCCTCCTCCAACACTGGAGTACACCTTCTCTCTCACTGCGAGCTCTTGACCAGTAAAATCTACTCAGCCTGCTCTATCCTGCACACTCTCCCCCCCTCAGGCAGACAGGCATTGATGCAACGCCGCAGACAGCCTCTGTTCAGCACACTCCCTCTCCTCTGTTTACCTGGCTGTGTGAGATTCCGATGCAGCTCCCCATCTTGTATTCCATGTCCTCCTCTGGTGAAGTGACTCTGGCACTACACGGCTGGCAGAGCACCTTTCTGCAGAACTGCATCGTTATCAGTCAGACTCAGCATCGCCAAAGCAGGCAGATCTCTGCTGGAGCTACAGAGAGAGTGTGTGCACGCCTCTGTGTCTGTGTGAGTGTGTGCCTCAGTGACTAACAAACGCTCTGCACTGCATTGCCTGTGGTGCGCCTGTGACATATATTTTCAAGGCATTGTTATATAAAAATCTTCATTACATAAGAAATCCAACCTAATCAAATGAGAGAGGAAAAAAAGGGAGCTGGGGCTCAGACCACTGCACGGCTGAGCAGACTGAAGCACCGCTGCGGAGGGAAGAAATGCTCGGAGAGAGAGAGAGAGGAAGAGATGGGAGGCAGCAGAGAGGGTGCCTGTGTCTTTAAAAGACCCAGGAGACAGCGAGGATGGAGGATGGTGGTACATCGTCATGATGAGAACACACCAAGATACCAGTGTGTTCATCCAACTACATCTGATCACAGTTCACTCAGCCAAAATAGAGCAGAGGGGAAAATTACAACAATGAAATATGATCATGAAATGAAAATGAATCCATGAATAATTTCAAATCCCCCCCACCTATTTGTCATTACCATTCATGAGCAGAAAAATGACAAAACTGCTGCCAAACAGAAAGCCCAGACCTGAGCAGAGCATGCTGCAGTGCATACAGTAACTAGGGTAAAGACGCAGAGAGTTTCGAGAACACAAACACACTCATTGTCAACTCCAGGCTGCAGCTATTTTATGATCATCTACTCTCAAATCAACCTCATGGTTAAAGTTGTGCCTCGCTGTTGCTGTAAGGCAGAGGTTCCCAATTTTTTATGCCCATGGGCCTGTAAAATAAAACAATCTTTACCCACTGTCATCGGTTACATAAAGCTATACATGTTATGACTAGGTCAACCACAGAGCGATTTTTTCCTCTCCTGCTCTATTTGTATCATTCTTGCAATCTGAAGAGGTAAATTGTCAAGTAATTTCTAAGAAAAAAGGAAATGTTAGAGAAACCTTAAAATGATGATCTTCTGTAGAGTACATTTATTTTTCCTGCCTTCCTGTCCCGTTCATCATCTCACTGCTCCTCAGTTATCAGACCATTGCTGTAAGATTTTAGTGTGCAATTAAAAATGATTAATCATGACCAATGTAATAAAGTTTCTAACTGTTCTCTTAAAATCCTATGGTGCTTATCAATGAAGTATAGTACGGATTAGAAAAGTCATTCTGTAAGTCATTTACTCAAGAGTTAAAAGTAGAAATATTATATATTACAGCACTAACTATCTGTCATATTGGTCTTGAAATGAGTCATGAACTTAATATGCACACAGATGCTGTTTGTTCTATGTCTTTCAGCTGAACCGTGCATCACTTTTAAATACTGTATTTAATGCACAAGGTCAAGTTAACTCAGTAGTTCGGGTAACTTCGATTACCTACATATGAAACTATTCCAATGACAGCATTCACTCAGTTTCTACTAACAATTAAAAAACATGTTAGGTTAAAGTCAGAATATCAGAAATATAAACAGTATATCATGTTGAGATTAATCAATAATATTCAACTCCTGTTATTTATTCATGTTTAAAATAAATGAAAACAGTACCAACTTTCTTTTCTTTGATTTTTATTATTCAAACTTATTAAAAACAGTAAAAAAAAAAATTAAAACAAAATGTGCAATTGAGTAATTATGATCTCAAGGGTGACATACATCAAAAATTGGCCTTTGAAAATTTCTAAGAATTTGTTTTTATTATTTAGAAATGTTAATAAAACAGCGACACACCTAAAAACAATTTTCAGTTTCAGCTAACAGAAAGTGGCGCAGCCCCTCTCTCATTCTGTGTTTGGAGGGTGAATCATTGTGTCTCTGATGTCGAAGGCGTCTATGAGCTCCTGGGAAAGAACAGTTACAAAAATAAAATGACCAAAGAGATAAAACAAAAATATTTATAGCAGATCTTGTATTGTTGCTAGATTAGGATTTCTGTGATCACGGCCAAACTTGCTAACCTTCCATGTCTTTGGGCTGATAGAGATGATGCACTGTTTACGAGTGCATGATCCTCCAGCCTCCACCTCCCCCTCCTCTACAGGTGCTGAGACACAAACACACACAACAATTTACATGGAGACATTTTCCTTGTTATTCCCCAGCCAGAATAATTCACCTAAATGTTACATTTTCTCACCTATACATGGCAGTTTCGCATTATCCAAGTACATCCGTGCCAAACCATCCTAAAACACAAAGACAATGTTGTCACACCTGCTAACAGCCACCAGAGGGCAGACAAGCTCAGTTTAAACAAACTGCAGAGGCAGCTCACCCTGATTAGAAAAGACGTGTGGAAAATGTTCTCTACTGTCCGGGAAAACGAGGTGGGGTCGATGACAAACTCGTAATACGATATCGGTGATGTTGCTGAAGTAGAAAACAGAGACACATGAGCAAATAATAATAATAATAATAATAATAATAATAATAATAATAATAATAACAACAACACAATTATGACATGTTCATGTCTGTCAGGTCAACTTTAAACTCACGATCATCTTGGTAATAACTCTTCAGGTATCCTAGGATCCTTTCCACCTCTTTCTCCGTTGCTTCTTGATGGGACTCTTCCATTTTCTTCAGCTGACAGACAACATGAGCATGATGCAGTATGTAAGTGTATCTTAGATTAGACGTTGCTCACCTTCATAACTGTTTGCAAAGTCACAGTCACATGCATGGTAGTGTAAGTTTAGGTACCTGAGTGGGCATTATCCTCTTGGCTTCCTTGCTGGGTGCTTTCCTTTGTCGTTCAATCCTTTGCTTTGGAGGAGGCGGCTCTGCATGGAACGAGCCCATCCTGATCAAAAGAACCAAAAAAAATAAATCAGAGACAGAAATTACTGCCGAGGGACAGCGAAGCAGGGAAGATGCAATAATTAAGCTAAAAATAATAATAGTAATAATAAACCTGTTACAGATTAAGAGTTTTTAATTTTAGGTTTTATGTGAACTCACTCTTGAGATTCTTAACTGTGGAATTTGATTAACAAACAATATGCTGTTTCTTTTTGGAGACATCATAACGCCAACATCTTAAGTGGCTGTGCCTGCAGCGTGCTGAGACACTCACATGTAATGGAAGGAGGGTGCCGTCCTGAAGCAGCACTCTGCCCTCCTGGCCACTCTGTGCCAGGCATCCTGGGGCAGGTAGCCGTCAACGCCGTTCTGCTCGTCCTCCCCGTCTTCTAGTCGGTTGAGACCCATGAAGGACAACTGTCCAAGAGAGGCAGAGACATCTTCACATGCTGGCCTGGTGCTTGCATTACAAATAAAAGCACTCTGATTTTTTATTACATTGTATAATATGATAAAGACAAATCTGGTTATATAAACAGCCAACAAAAATCAAATTTAAGAAATACAGTAACTATGAAACAAAGCCTATACTCTAAGATATCCTTAATTATTATTCAGGAAATTGACATTAAAGCAATTCTTTTAAGTAATAAGCCCAGGTAAGAACAAAGAGATACCTTCTAATGATACAGTGCTGATGGCATATTTTTTATTTTGGTGTTTTTAGCTACAATATTATAACATTGTATGACTCTTATTTATTTAAGAGAATATATCTGCCTATTATACTGTTTGCACATTGATGGTCCTTGGTTTAGATAAAAATACAGGATAAGAGTAACAATCACTGTGAAGCTATTATGTTAGGTTGGATCTTATACACTCTAAGCTGTTATGACTTGGTTGTCTTCATTCCAGTTACAGGACCCCTTCCCCAGTCACTGGGCCACCTCAATAGAGCATGTTTGTGTGCTAATGTGAAGCATTTTACGCACATGGACATAATGTGTATACACGATAAATATACTCACAAGATGTTCAGCGAAAGCGGTGGGATCGAAAGCGGTGCCCTCGGCAAACAGTTGGCTCGCTTTCTCCTTTCCCAGGTCTGTGGCCACAACCAGAAGCTGAGCGTCCAGAGCTGCTTCCCTCGCCTGCCGAACTGCAAGAGATCACATTGAAATCAAACTGACTCATGTGATTCATGTATGATTTCTTTACTCTGAATACTACAAATACTAAATTACACTATCGATAAATTAGCAAATAAAAGTCTCTAATAACCTAACTTGCATATCTTTGGTATGTGGAAGGAAAACCAGAGCACCCAGGGGAAACAGAGGCATGGGGAGAACATGCAAATACCCACTCCTAAGAATACTTATTTCAATGGAGATGTTGGTGTTTAGAATCTGCTCTTCTTAAGAAAATATATCTTGCTGTGCAGTGCAGCACTATGGCTTGAATGTATGCTATAAATGAACAACTCTGCGGTCTGTCCATACCTCTTTACAAACATAATCACAGGACTGCAGCCAATATGCAAAATTTCTGTGGTTGCATCACACATGGTCTAACCATTGAAATGTCATTGTGGGTTTTATTATGTGGGCTTTTCAGGATCTCTGAGCATAAGATCAGCATCTGAAATTGGGACAAATCTTCATTATAGGGTCTATAATCAAGAGCTGTCTATATCTTGTTTTTTATGAATACACACAGGTACAATTGAAGTATATGTTTCCATATTTTCTATGAAGATGCTGCATAAGCTGGATCGATTTGGTTGTGGCAACAACATATTGTGACATGTTTTCTCTTGCTCTTCTGATGTCCGTCTGTATTTTTTTCCTCATTACTATTTATCTCATGAGGATGATTTGTATCAGCAGATCATTTATCACAGGCAGGTCTGTGATCGTTGTTTAATAAGGATGGCACACCCAAATGTGTTTCATAAAGGTTAAGGAAGGCCTAGAGCTGAAAGGTGTTTATATTTATATTTGCTGCTCTGGACATTAAAAGTGATTTTTTTTTTTTTGCAACATACATACCATCTTTAAAAAGCTTGTTTGCCTGTTCTAAAACTTCTGTGAGTTTGTTGTTGGAGGGGCTCAGCATATCTTCTCTATTCTCTGAAAAACAAACACACAAGAAGCACATACATCAGAGACTTGTCAACAAATAGACAACAATAACAACCTCACCCTGCCTGTCCATCTTACTCACGTTGTACGGAGTTGATCAGGTCTCTGTACTTGCTCCGTATTTCTCTCCTGAGGCCCGGGTCATTGTCGTCGTCTTGCAGGTCAGCTGGCCCGAAGGTAGAGTCACCGTCGTCCCCATCACTTTGCTGTTGGTCTCCTTTCCTGCGGGCAGCAGAGCCATTCTGCCGGGGAGCCTCCTCGTCACCGCCGCCTCTGGCTCTTTTCATCTTTCTTCAGTGAGTGGATGAGCTGTGTGTAGTGAGAGGGAAACACGCTGACGCAAAACAGGTTCAATATAAACAAGGTCCGTTTCTGTTTGTCAGTGTTATAGCTAATTAACTACCTCTTCACAACTGTTCTCCAACATAGAGTATAAATACAAGCTGATACTGAATGAAGCTGTCAAGTTGTTGAACGTTATTTTGCATTTTGAAACACTAGCAGCCCGTTTTGTTTAAAATTTAGCCAAAGACGTTAGAAAAGTCAAGCTAAAAATCCGCTACTCTAGCTCATTTACAGGTCAGGGCAAGCGCAAATTGTTGCTCGTGTCTGATTAAGTGAATGTCGAGTAACGGAGTACGATAAATATAATGCATTAGACTTACTGGTGTTCTGCTGCATATGTGCTAAATGAGAACTAACCACAGCTAAGGTCAACCATTGCAAAACGATGTTGCTATTTAGCTAGTGTTAACTGTTCAGCTAATGTTACATCAATTCTCAAACCAACACAGCTTTGAGGTTACTGCAAATACATAAGTATGCGGCTAACAAACACTGCAAAGCAGCTAGAATATTTAAACAGAATAGACAAAATATAACAAACCAGAAAAACCAGAAGCAAACGTCTGCGGGTCCGGCAGCTAACACAGAAATGGAAGTACTGAACAGTTTACCATCTCGTTTCTGTTGCCTGTATCCTTGGTCCGAGCTAACCCTAGCTGGTGTTAGCTAGCAAAATCAGTTGTGTTAGTAACGTAACCGAGCGTTAAGACTTTTTACGAACGTGTCATAGCAAAGGCATCGTTAAAGGAAAACTCACAGTACGCTCCGATTGTTGTTCTACTAGGTCTAAGCATTTTCTTCAAGGAACTTTAACGTACCTGCTTTACACACAAACACAAGGCGCCAGGAGGATTTCATTTATGTTGAAGTGTTGAAAACGAAGTTAGTTTTGTATTGGTACGTTCTTTTGGAAGAGAAAGTAAACTGACACTGAAAGTTCCACTGAGCTATAATAGTAATAATTGTAATAATAACAACAGCAATTCTACAACTACTGATAACAACAATAATAATAATAGTAGGAGTAGTTGTTATTGTTATTATTATTGTTGTTGTTGTTCATTATTATTATATACTTTAAAAAACAAGTTACTTGCGCAAACATACATAAAAAACTAAATGCATTCATAAAACAAATATTGAAATATTACAGAAGTATGAATTCAACACAAGCAAAGAGAAACAAGGAATAAAGAACAGAGTACTTATTTGATGAACACTGTCATTATATTGCCACATTTCTAGACAATTAGATAAACGTTTAAAGTAACTACTGTATCAATCAGCAACTGGGAGCCTATAAAACCACTACTGGATGAGAAATAAACATTTTGTTTTGTTTTACTTTCATTTTACTTTCAAGAGAAAAAAAAATATGTGACATTATTATCTAAAAGCTCACTGCTAAATGAAATGTATATCAGATACTGATATAAGATGTCCTGAACCTCAAAGAAAAAAATTGGTTGGGCATACTTTTGTTTTATTAAAGAGGCTTCTTGGGGCCCTGAGTCAGATTAGGGTTAGTGTGCTTTAAAATAAATTTAAAAAAAAACAAAAAAAAAAACAGAACTGTTTACATTCTTAAAATCAAATTTGCAGCATTACTGTACGTTACTGTAAAATGTTGTCAGTCTTTGGGAATAATTCAATCCCTCTGCCTCACAAAACTGCCTTCAAATAATAGCCGATTTATAGGAACCAGCCTAAAATGTTTGCTACAGATTATTAGATACTGACAACTGAAATACAAATGATCTAAAAGTAAATATTCAACTGAAGATGTATTGACTTTTGTACACATAAAATCGCAACTCACCACATGCATTATTTAGTTATTTGTTTTGTTTTTTATTAATACTAAGCTTCAAATCTAAATTTCTTCTCTGAACTTCCGTTACAAACGTCTGACGAAGGTGGAACTAACTTCAGCGATGGTCGTCATCCTCAGCCTGTAGGGCGGTGTCAGCGGCGGACACGATCATCCCACCGGTAGAGGGCGCGCTAAAGACTGTTTGAAAGTATCTGACGTAGGAGAGCCGCTCTGTAGTTTATATTCGTTGTTTTGTTGTCATGGTAATCAGAAGCGTCCCCCCCCCCACACACACACACACACACGCACCCCCCCTTCCTGCTAATTCCAGCTGTTATGATTCGTTTTCATCGGCACACGGTTAAAATGGTTAGTGTTGTTTTGTAGTTTATTTTTGTTTGTTTTGTTTTCGACGTTTTTATTTTATTTTTTATTTTTTTATTGAGGGCAGTTAAAACATGTTTACTTGAAAGTATAACACAACTTTTCACACCCAGACAGAGATTATTTCATTTCAAAAATTGCATTAAAGTTATAAAGTTAAAGATTAACATAGTAAAAATTGTTGAACTTTTCCCTTTTAGTGGGGTCTCATTTGTTTTAGGTTTCCTGTTTATGTAGCCTATCATCATATGATTTATTACCCATCTTATTATACGTATTTGTTATTTTACGCATTATAATATGCTACATGTGGAGCTGCTCTAATGGCAAAGTTACTTATAAAAGTAGGCTATAATAATTATATAAGTATAATATAGTATAGTATAATTCATATTTAGCTACAAGTACAAATGAGGTCAGTCAGTTGTTCGGATTCTACGTTGCTATAAATTCTTTCACGTTGTCTCAAGTTGGTATAAATAAAGCTGTGTTCAAAATATTAAAGAACACGTTTCAAGTCTGGGTTTCCCTGTCTGTCACAGCTGAGACGCAGCTTTAATCCCCTCATGACCTCTCTGTGCTGGAAAGCTGAAGGACTGCGCAGGAGCTCGGGAACTGGAGAAACTTTGAGCACCTGAATTCTACAGGTGATTGAACCGGTGTTTGATCATGGCGGAGCCGAGGACCACCCCCCCTGTGGTCCGTTTGGACCTGAACAACTTTGACCTGGCCCAAGCAGAGAGGAGTCGGTATGTGTTAACCAGTCCGCGCTCCCTGGAGTCCTGCGCGCGGCTCGGTATCAAACCTGTTCAACTTCTGATTAAATCACTAAACGAGTTGATTGCTGAACAGAAGGACTCGCCCTTTGAGGCGGTGAGAGTTATGCATGAATCCTACGAAAGGGAGAGAATGAAGCTTCTACAAATGTGCCGAGAGGAAAGGGAGAGGATTATCCAGGCGACAGGGGACAGGTGGCCGGCCAGAAACAAAGTCTCAGGCCTGGAAGCCAAACTGAAGGATCATTCAGTGCAGAGACAGTCCATACCATATGCAGATCTGTGCCTTCAAGGGAAACCTGCTAGCATGTCCTCCTGTTCTGCTGCTAGTCACAAAGACCCAGACAGGAGCACGGTCTGCAGCTTCAGTCTGGGAGAGCTCACACAGTCCTCAGCTACTGAGAGGAAACTGGACAAGCTCACCAAGGACATCAAGAAGGAGATGTGTGTCACAGTGTCAGAGAGAGACCGCAAGATAGCAGCTCTCATGCTCGTGAAGCACCAGGAGGAGCAGACTCGCCTCAAGCTCTGTCAGCAGGAGGAAGAGCAACGAGAGGAGGCCCGAAAACAGGAGGAGGACCAGCGGGCTCAGGCAGAGAAAAGGAGGAGGAAACGACTGAAACAGAGTATGAAGCACTGGCATGAGGAGCTGGAGGCCCGCAGGAGGCTGAGGGAGCATCAAGAGAAAGAGAAAGCGGGACAACTCAAGCAGGAGGTGCTGCTGCAAGAAGACCGCTGGAGGAGGCTGAAAGAGGAGGTGGAGGCACAGCGCAGAGAGAAGATGGAAGCTGCACAGAAAGAGGCAGAGGGGCGCAAACGCTACCAGGAGAAGCTGCTGAGAGAGAGGCAGGAGGTGCAGAGAAGGGAGCAAGAGAAGGAGAGAGAGGTAGCAGTGGAGAAGGAGCAGAAGGCCAGGAGGAGCAAAGTGCTGCTGGAGAGGAAGGAGAGGAAGAGGCTGCAGGAGGAAAACCACAGGGAGCTTCTACGACACATCCTGCTGAAACAGCAGGTGGAGCAGCAGGTGGAGGACGAGGAGGCACAGATGAAGAGCACCCTTGAGAAGAAGCTGCAGCACTCCTGTGAGAAGCGTGCCCAGGCAGTAGAGGATCGGATGAGGGAGCTGCATGAGCGGGGGGCCCGGGAGGGGGAGCAGATTCAGAGAGCGCAGCTGAAGGCCGAGCTGCAGAGCGTCCAGCAGCTCACACACAAACAGATGCTGGTCCAGCTGAGCCAGCGTCGCATGGAGAGAGCCGCCCTGAACGCCTCGGCCCAGCTCAGGAACAGGGTTCAGCAGACACATCAACGCAACACACACAGGCAGATCTGCCACCAGAGGCTCAGAGAGAGGATGCAGAGAGAGGAGGAAGAATTGAGGAAGGTCCGCGAGAGCTGCATCTTCATGAAGGAGTGGAGGAGGGAGAGGCTGCGGAGACAGCGAGAGAGAATACAGGAGGAGGCGCAGACGCTGGCTCGGGCCTCCTTTCACATGAGGGAGAGAGTGAGACAGCAGATACACAGACGAACCTTTGATCAGATGGCTCTGGAGGCTCAGCTGGCTGCCTCCATGATACGCATGAAACTATGAAAGATTTCCTCCAATTCTGACTCTAGAAAGACTTAAAGCATCACATCACATCAGCAGTCAAAAACTGTGAGAAGGATGTGCCATACGAGTTAATTTGTTATAACCGGGGTCCTCTGAATAAATGTTGGGGCCCCCGAGCTGCACAGGGGGCTCTGCAACATGCTGTGGATCATTATCGTGTCAGGGCTGTTTTCACAGGGCTCAACATCTCTAGCTCAATGAGGGACGTGCAGAATAACAGCAGAATAACAGCAGTGATTTTGAGTGTAATGACTCACAAAATCAGTGCGATTGTGCCTTATATTTCCCATTAACTGCCATTTGTATTGAGTGACCCAACATGACATTGTGCAGTATTACAGTCCTATCTTACAGGTGAGATGTGGTTTATTAGGTCAACAGGTAGTCAGGGGGGAAAGGTCGAGTTTTTAGCCTGTGGAAAGCTCAGCAGTGCAGGTGAAGCCTCCAGACCAGAGAGCGAGGGGTTAAGTTGTGGTCTGTAGCCATTGGGGTGCTTGTGGGCTGACATCAGTGTTTTGAGTTTGATATAAGAGCCATTAGCAGCCAGTGGAGTGCAGATAAGAGAGCAGGGCCTATGGAAGAATTTCGGGAGGTTGAAGATGAGCCAAGCTGCAGCGCTGTGGACGAGCTGCGGGCGTAAGAGGCCACAACACTGGTTAATGTTCAGCTCCTCACCATTGTGCTGACTTGTGTCAGTGTCCATTCATATCACGTCTCACTAGAAGCTTTTTAAAAAAAACTTTGCATATGAATCTGGATGGATTTGTCTCAACCTTTATTTAAATGACACAATTAAAGCAGAACCAGTTTTAAGTAGAATGATATTTGTAAATGTAGAATATAAACAGCTGTTACTGCTTCAGCACCTGATTTCAAATCTCTTCTGTTCTGGACCATGACAAACGGAGAGAAATTAAATTAACCATTAGTGGTGTGATGATGTATAGAATAGATGATGTTTTATGTATATTTCTTTATTTCTTATAACTTAATAGTATTTAATAAATTATACTTCAAAGTGCAAAACGTCTTAATCTTGACATTTTGTTTTTGTGTCTGTATTTGACCCTGATGGATCTTCTAAGTCCTGCTAGGCAGGTGGTTGATAAAAGGCAGGTGCAACATGACACTTCACCATTAAATATGGATTAGCATCAGATAGCTTACGTCTGCATCAAAAAATGTGTTGTGTGGGGAAAACTAAAAAGAGCACAACATTAAGCAAACAGCCATCAGAACATGAGCAGACATGTTTTTATTTCATATAAACGTCCGCATTCACTAAAGAACGAACAGACAGGAATCATCAAAATGTAGATTACCCTAATTTTTGAAATGACAAAAATTCAGTGAGACATTTGTGATTGGAGGAACCCGCTTGATCATCCCAGTTATGTACAGTACTTGTTTCTGTCTGACTCACATAACATCTAACAGATGTAAAGAGCTGCTGGATTCTTACAGATCTTCCACCACACACCCCAGAGGCTTTGTCAGTCGTACTGGTAAAAAGTCTCACCTGCGAACCTATAAAACCAGTTATACACAAAGATTTCACATCCTCTCTCTGGGTAATTTGTACTATTGCACATTAATAAGCTGGAAGTCTGGACCCGTTTTCAAGCTCCTGACTATACAAAAAAAAGTGCATGACCTAGATCTCTTATTGTTTGGATAACCTGTTCCTGTAAATCTATCCAGTTACTGGGATTTCACCACTGACCATGCCAAACTCCACTGAGGACAATAAATTAGCTATCAGATTCTTACCTCCTGCCAAGCTCTTTTAATACACTAACAATAGTTAGATTCAAAGGAAGTTTCACTGAAAACACACCACGCTAACTGCTCTTCCAAGGCTTTTTTTTGTTCTCTCCAAACATTGTGCCATACAAGTAGTTTACACTGTAGAGTGTATTATACAGGTGCTCACAGTTGTCCTTTCAGGTGTGGTGGCACCGTGATCTTTGCACGGTTATTTAACTTCCCTGACGTTCCTCTCTCAGTCGTCATGCAGGCCGAGAGCCAGCACCATCGGGAGCCCGACCCCGAGGATGAGAGTGAGGCTCTCCAGGAGCCCCAGGTGGCGCTGCTGGTGGGTCTCAGCTCCAGTGTGCTGCTGGAGGTCAGAGGATGGCTGGCCTGGTCTGCTGCTGCTGCTGCTGCTGATCTCTGGGAGAATGTGCACTGTGGCCACGTAGAGGAAAGTCCCAGCTGAGAAGAGCATCCCCACACCTGTTGCACTGAGCTGGTTCTGAGATGAACTGCCGGACTGCAGATACAAACACATCAAATCAAATAACACCAAACAAACCATTGGACTGAAACTGTATAATACTTAGCCGCTCTCTTACTGCATGTAATATGAAGTAAGTGGTGATGGCAACAACAGGTGATGCGGCTGAAAAGGCCAGCAAATGTCCCTGAATGTACTTCTTTTCAAGGCCTGCATGCATCAGAAAGGAGACCAAACCAAAAGCTGCAGGCGCCTAGGAGAAAAGACGGACGGTCAGGTCTGCTACATTTTGTTTATGAGCAGCACTGCTGGATGTTTCACTGCAGCGTTCTCTCAGGGAAACTCACCTTGTGTAGAATCACAGCAAAAAATACTATGACTTGCACTGTCACTTGACCTGTGGCCACAGCAGCACCCAGAGCAAAGCCATCAGCTGTATGTAAATGAAAACATTGTTAGTGGTCACAACAATCTGCTTCCTCCATGGGTGTCTGTGCCTCCAAAAGCCTCCAAGCTACGATTTCAACTCAAATTATGTCACTGGAAACATAAAAGACTCAAACAGTGAAGGAATCACATGCTGAGTCACATGAGGACTTTAACAAACTCCACTGCTTTGTTAGGAATTTTCCATGCTTGTGGCATGGCATTCCTTGAAACATTTTGTTTACCTTGGGAAAATACAAGTCCATAAAAATGTAAAGTAAATACTTTGCTGTATAAATACCTGCAGCATGTATAACCAGTCCCAAGGTGGCTGTGATGCCCGCACTGTTCGGCAAACGAGTCGTTTGGTCTGAAATGAGACATTGCACATGTTGTGGTGATAACGAAACACTACCAGTGAAAAGCTTCAGAACACCCACATTTTTCCAGTTTGTATAGGAATTTAAACAGTTCAAGTCCAGTGAGTAACGTTAAATGGTACAAAGGTAAACTGTAAGCTAAAAAGATAAAAATATATAAAGAGGTTTAGGTCCCACAAAACTGAAAAAATGTTTTCCAGGGATTAAGACATTGGTTTATTTACAGCTTTCCTGCAGCAATGGAGGCAAATGAGGCCTTGAAATTAATGCTAGGTATACAGGTTGATGACCTCATCAAAATCTTTATCCTTCATTTGTTGCGTGCTTTAATTTCAGAAACACTCACACATTAGTAACAACTGGAAAGATGGAGGTGGTCTATATGTGGAGTTGACATTCTGCAAAAATGAAGCTGGTACTAGAGTTCTGCCAACTTGCCACGCATGGAGATGTAACTTCCGATCTGATCCACCACAAACATGAATGTAAAGCCGAAGGTTAAAGCCACTCCGATGAAGAAGCGGGATGGAAGGCCTCTCTCTGTGGAGGTTGCATTTTTCTCACTGCCATTCAGACCGGACGGCACATCGGAGTTGGAGGACGCTGCAGAAAGAAGATGAAGGACAGGATGAGCTATTTGATCTCACCCCACATAAAAGAGTACAAGGTAGAGAGGCATGCATTTAAATGAGTGAGCCCCTTTGATCCCCATACGCCTCATCACTCTTTTCAAAGGGTTACAATCAAACACGGATGTAAATGTTGTGGGTGAGGATGGCGTGGATTGATCAGTTGGCAAGACGACCAAGGAAAGGGGCTGCCGGGTCCTGGTTCAGCTCATGTTCATGTTTGTATTTGCTCACCTCTCCATGACTCCTCCAGTAAGCCCACTCCCTCTGGGATGGTGATAGCCAGCGCGGTCCCACACAGGAGTCCTGCCCCCAGGATGGAGACAAACTGCAGGCTTTTCTAGAGAATTCACACATGACTCCAGCTGATCAGAGTGAACCAATGATTTATTTCACAGACAAAACAGTTTCTCAGATTTCCATGAAAAGAGGCAAATGTCATCTATGTGGTATTTTATGTTCTACGCTCCTATCCTGGCCAGGTCTCTCTTCTTTTTTTTTTTATCTCAATGGAACTTCCTGGTAAAAATAAAGGGAAAAAAAAATGTAATTTCTTTTATATAAATAATAATATTCTGCGGTCAGTCTTATTCACCATAACTCATTTAAAAACATTATCTGCGGATGAACAGCAGTGTAATGCAGCCAAGTGTATCGGGGGCCACACATGAAGATCAACACTGCAGATTAAAATAAAGTTTGATGCCTCCAGTCACTGTGACATCGAGACTGAATCATTTCAGGACCGTTTCTACAAGGAGTTGAAATGAAAGAAAGCAGACTCTTACCTCAGACAGTCTGAACAACAGTGGGATGAATCCGAGTAAAAAACAACCAACAAACATCGCAACCGATATAAAAGTAACAGCCAGCCCTCCGTCCATGACGACGACTTCTTTTTTTAACACAAGTGGTGACTCGGTTTGCCGATGTGCTACATGTTAGTGGTGTATCCTGCTGAAATCTGACAGTCTGCTCTCATGGACACTGTGGGTTTTATGTGTTGGATTATAGACGAGATAAGAGCCATTCTGCCTTTCCACGTCGCACCTCGCTCTCTCGGCTCTTCTGCACCACAGCTGCACTTCCCTCCCAAGCAGCACCCAGTGTCCGACACTGAGAACTGCATCCCCGCCCCTGCCAGCCTCCATCCCTCCAATCATCTACCTCCGATCTGCAGCACCAAGTAAACCCAGACCAAGTAAGGCTGCAGCTGCAGAACCTCTGGGTGTACTGAACTCAACAGTACGAGCTTTTACTCCATATTCATTTCACTTTTCGTGTGTGGGAAGGAAAATGTGTTGTTGCTGTTGAATTGAAACTCTTAAAGTGGACAGACTTGATTAAATACAGATTTATTGTTCAAAGAGCTGGGGGGAAGCAGATATATAGTATATATATATATATATATATATATATCTATCTCTATCTGTTGTACAGACGGCCCTTTGGAAAGGATGAAAAAATGAGACAGTCAAATGCTGAGATCTGCTATTGTTACTCTTCCTATCTAGAAAAATGTAAAACTAAAAAAAGGCAAAGCTCACAAAAACACATTCTAACTGTGCACAGTTTTGAGACACAGAAACGTTTTACTGCCCATTTTTAACACAAAGTAGAAACAAGCTGATAACTTCTATTAAGAGTCTTTGACTGTTGGTGACAAAAAACAATGCATCTATTTCCAGTTAGTCCCGCTGTCTATACAGATCTTATGAAGATAATATAAAATCCATCATGAGGATCGTAATTAGCAAAACAATGCTACCTGGAAATCATTGCAACCATCAGACTGACAAATGAAGATCTGTACTCAAATGAAAAGCCATAACATGGGACAGGACACCAGTTAGTTTTGTTGTAGTATAAAACAAGTTCTGGTTAGCTCAGTGAACCGTCCTTTCGAAGCTGTTTAAATACAGCCATCACACTTTCATTACTTTAGCCACTTTCAACTTACCAAAAAAGTTGTGGAATTAACGTACATTCAGTGTTTTAAAAACTGAAGTTGTTAGACAAGATGAGATTTTTAAGCATCTCCCTCGGAGCTGGACAGTATGTGTTATTTTGACAGAACACATTCAGAGATTTCAAGATATCTCAGAGGTATAAAAATGAAGAGGTATAAAAAATAAAATCACCTTATCATGACCAGAAGAGCACCAGAGTCAATGGTGTCTGACAATTCTCTTGTTTTTACCATAATAATATACCCATATGTAGTGCTAAAATACCCATGGACAAATTATGGAAACAGTTTAGGTTCACCGTTGTCGTTGTCACACCCATATGGGGTGTGCCCTTCTCTGTCAGTCATATAAGTGAAAGTAAGATTAGTGCACATTTCCCACAATGGCTCTCTGAGCAGCTGGATAATACATTTTTTTAATATTATGGACCAATGATAATAATTGGTCCATAGTGACAGACTGTAGTGGTACTTTGTCTGCAGCACTCTGCCTTGCTTTTTCAACAATCGTCTTTATGTTTAATGGGGCAGCTCACAGTGTACAGAAAAAAGAGGCTTCTTAAATCCTGAGTAAGGTAATAACTGCATGGGCACTGTGTTTCACATGATAATTTGTTACTTGGTGTTTGCTCTGTTAAAGCAGATATTTGTGTCTGAATGTTGTTGAACCTGAAAAGAAGCTGCTTCACATGGCTGAGGCAGATCAGGAAAATGTTGTAGTGCATCCCTATTTCTCTGCCAGAGGCCTTACAGAGCTGGTCGGTGGATCTGCAAATGGAATGTACAATTGTGGGGGGATATGTAAGTACTTCATAAAAACAACATAATGAATATATTTTCTATTTTGTTATCAATGGGTGATTGGGAGTGGGGGTGGCGACAGTGTTCAATATCATACAGTTAAGGTTTGAACATGAGTATGACAATAAATAGAACTGGACCACTGGTGTAACTGCTAAACTTTCTTGTGTGGTCTTGCCCAAGATTTGATATGTTATCCCAAAAACTGCGCAGCTGAGTTCACCAATCTAAAACTCAGCACTGAGTACTGGCAAAATGGGAAAATGTAACAATGCTCAATGACAACTGGAACTTACAGTATGCTACCTACACCATGCTATCTACACAAAACATTGAAGAGGACCTGACAGAGGGCTGAGTGGTAAGATATGGATTACCTCATTCCTAAAACTAGCAGTAGCCACCTAAACTGAATGCTAATTCGAAAATCTCTACATACATATGTAAACATATGGGAAAAAAAAGATAACAATGAGAACAACATATAAAGAGAACTAGTCACAATGAGTATCTCTGAAACTGACTCAGAAAACCCCCCCAAAAGGCCTTTCTCTCCATCCTCTGAGCCAAACAAAGGAATCAGCAGGGTCTTGGCCTCCAGTCCTTCTGCAGCAGCCGTGCAAGGATTGTCCCCTAATGGGGGCAGCATCAGTAGCAGCAGTCCTACAGCAGTACCAACAAAGGCTCAGGGACTGAATGCCAAAAATGATCATTATCAATGTAGTGTACCAAGAGATGAATTAGCCTCTTCCACAGTTTAGGGATGTATCAAGCTTATTAACATTTAAAATTCCATGCCTACAAATAAATACCATGTCAAACAAGGTTATTTCACAAATCTAGAGTTTTGTAGCAGTAGTCTCAAAGCGTCCAGGAGTGTTAGTAGCAATGATTTTTTTTTCTTTTTTTGTTTTTTTCTGAAAGGCTTCTATGGAATTGGAAGAAGTTTTGAGACCACCATATCTGCACAGACCAAGCTACCTGCTGCTGTGGAAAACTCTTCTCTTGCTCTCCTCTCTTATAAGCTGCTTATTCAGGGAAGCATCTAGTGCAGACAATTAGAGATACTGGCAAAAGGATTATGGGAAAATCCCTCCACCCTTTGCAATTGAAGGCATGCTGTACTACAGTACCATGGTGAAACTCGAGCTTATCGGACAGGTCCTCTCTTTGAAGTGCAATATGTTAAGGAAATACAGACAGAATACTCCCCTTACATGACAAGGCAAAAATATTCATTTGTGCATTAGTGTCTTTCTTTCACGGGTCCATGTGTAGTGTTTCAGGATGTGCCTCAGCTACATCGGAGCAGAAAGACGTTGCTGCCCTTACACTGTCAGAGTACATCCCTTCTGCAGGTGCACAGAAGATGTGGTTTGATGAGACCCAGTGTAGGAAACGCAAGAGTCCTTGAGTAACAATCCATTAAATCCTTAGTAGACAGTGTGCTTATGTTAGTGTGAAGTCCCTCGATGGAGGTTGAGATGCTTTGGAGAACTGCTGGTTCAGTTCCTAGTTTAATTCACATGTTCAGTGCACTCCTCAAGTTAACTTAGGGGATTTTTTTAAGTCCGGACAGTATCACTGATGCACTTCATTATCAATGAGGCTGTCCTCACCAGACTGGAAGTCCTCATTCAGGCCATTTTCAACATTGATTATTTCCTCGTCCTGCGAGGACCCCTGGCCATCGTCCTCGCCACTGCCTGAGCCAGCCTCCTCTGAATTTGGGTCTTGAAGTACCTGAGCAATGTACATTTGCTGTAGAGGAGAAAATGAAATAAAACACAATGTTAAAGTCTGAATGCAAGTTCATATTACAAAAAAGGTTGTTTATCTCTTTGTTCCGTCAAATCTTTGGTCTTAGTAGAGTTTTTGTGTTCTTGTGTACATATGGAACATCTGATTGACTTTGTACTTCATGTCTTGTGACATAGCTCAAGTCAAAACTTTGGATAAATGAAGTCACTTCTGCATAGGAACTAAAAGTGTGTAACCCATGTTTTCCTTTCTTTTTGACCCCATGGTCATCCCCACGGCCATGCTTCTTTTCACTGTTTGATGCTGAGGCACATGCTGATATTATATAAACATGACTGAATACATACTGCTGCCCTGTTAGCGGCAGAAGTGCACACTGGACGTCCATTCTCCAATCCATCAATCTCCTGGGTGTCAATCTGAGACAGAAAACACACATTTAATACAAGCAGCTGAATATAAAACCTGTGTGAAATACTGGCATTAAGAATTCAGAAAACAAAAAGTGATGAATATTTGATTACCTTGTAGTTGTGAGCGCTGAGATATTTAAAATGTCCAAAGCAGACGTGAGAGAGGCAGACAATGATTGTGATGATCAAAACTACGAACGTGAACATGGACGTTGCGGCTGAAAACCCTGGGGGAAAAAAGTGGAGGGACACTTGTTTAACATGTGGTTTATGTCACAGTGGCTTATATACTGTAAATAAATGTGGGCATGTGTTAGGACAGTAGTGGCCTGCAGATGGAGTCCTCTTCTTACCCGAGCGAACAGTGGAGAAGAACAGAAGCCAAAAGAGACAGAGAATAGGAGCAGCCACCACTTGGTTGACAGCTCCAGAATGGATCTTCTTGTCCAGTTTGGATGGCAGATAGGCGTAGTACATGTTGTACCTGTCTGCTAGGTGTTTCAGCAGCATGTACATCAGCCCTGCACAGACACAGGACAATCAGTGGATGTAATCCAATTAGGCCTGCTGATAAGCTTCCATATAAAGAACAGAACCACTCTATACTGCCTGCCCTCTGTATGTTCCTCCTGCAATCATTTAATCAGCGCACTATCAAGATGTGAAACAGCAGTAACCCAGCAGGGATACTAAATGGTAGCACTCACCAAAAGGGACGATGATTGGGCAGGTGATGCTGTAGGTCATAACCACAGTGAAGACACACATCATCCAAGCATAAGCTGCCCCGAACTGGAACTCATAGGCTTGGTGCTATGGAGACACGATGACAAGATATTAAAGAAAATTCTCTATCTAATCTATTGATTAACATAGTACAAAACAAAACAAAACAAGTCCACCTTAAAATCATAGCAGAGATTCTCATTTATTATGTATAGTATGACATTAAAGTCTTGGCTTTCTGATTTTATCTGCTTAATTGTCATGTTCATATACACAACAACAAAACCATTACTTTCTCATTCAGTTTCAGAGTAGATGTTCATGTAAGAGATCACTTATATTATGCTATTACGTTTTGAACTAATATGTTTCACATGGACCCATGAATAATTTAAACTTGGCAAAGAACAGGGACTAACCCTTTTGACGTTCCTCCGCTCAGCTGCAGAGCGAGCCAGGCAGAGGCGGATCATGTACATGAGCAGACCCGGGATCCTCAGCAGGTCCATGGCATTTCCAATGAATGCAGACGCAATGACATAGTTCACGAAGAAGGCTCCATTGTCAGGAAGGAATACACACCTAAAGAGCAAAGAAAAAGGTCTATATCACTAGGGACTGAAAAGGACAGGCTCAAACTGAAGTAAACACATTACTGCAGAAACTAATTTAATTCCACATTAAATTAACTATATGAGACCCAGCTGGGGTATTTCTAAATGAGTGAATTATAATAATGTCCCAAACAAACTGGACTTTCAATGCTGTATATTTACAGCCTGTTCTGCTTTGTGCTAAGTGCTATGGAGTTGTATTCAAACATCCATAAAATTCTGCTACTTACTCAAATCTCACTTTAGCATCTGCCAAGAACCTTTTGTCAAACAGCCAGCGGAAGAAAACATCCAAACTGCAAGGATACAAGAAAAGAGAGGAATCAACTAAAATATTTAGGGTGACAAAAATGAACTGATGTATACATTTACATTTAATTATATTGAAAGTAATACTTAAAAAATGTGCTATACCTGCTGAGTCCGAGGGAGGGCAGCAACAGGACCATGAAGATCAAGAAAGTATAACACTTATGCATTGTGGTCCTGTTCTCTCCTGAGCTATATGACCAAATGAAATTTACACATTACAACAGACACAACACACTCGAACAACCTCAACATCAAATGGGAATAAAGACAATAGGACTCTGAATATGCTAAACTGACTGACTGATTGCAGAAAGTGTGACTCATACCGGGTCCAGTGGGCTTCGAAGAAGGCAGAGTAGTAGACAATAGTAGGAAGTAAGGCAGAAAAGGACCACAGAAGGAGGGTGGGGAAGAACTGGGTGATGATTGGATTCTGGAGGACAGATCAGAAAGACATGGACATGTTGTGTCAAGAAACAAAAGTGGTGAATTCCTGCTGACTTGTGACAGCTCTGACTTAAATGCTGTTAGAGCTTATTTTGTTCTTCTCCTTCAGTGTCTCTTGAAATAATTCCTCTGTTTCAGTATGGTAATGACAGAGATTTCTGAACTGAACTTTGAACACTCACATTGAGGTACTCCACTGGTTTGGTAACATTGAACTTGTCCATGGTGGAGATGATGATGGCTGGGGTGGTGAGGAAGAACAGGAGGATGAACAGGACACAGTTGATGATCAAGCAGCGGATCCACCAGGAAAATCCTCCCACTGACAGATGCTCCCTGTGGGATAAAGGTTATGTAGCGGTTAGACTGACACTGGGTGATGACCCACAGTTATGGATACAGCTGGCCAGTAAACTGATACTGCAGCTCAAAAACCAGTTTTTCATCTGGTGTGAGAAAGTCTCTTCAAAGTGAACTGAAGTTCAATTATAACTCAGCGTGATATTAAGAACGTAGTAAAGAAAATATGACTTGAATGTGTTCTTACCAGTAGACATTTTGTGGATCAGGGGCGTAGCTGACAGTCCAGTTGTGTGTGTGCAGTTTGGTGCTGAACTGAGAGCTCTTGGGCTCCCGACGACAGTGACAACCCTGACACTTGCAAGCATTAAAGTCCTTCAAAATTCTGAGAACAGACATCAACACAAACGACACATGTTGAGGTGGGTCAAGAGGCATGTAATATGTCAATTTAAAAACAATACCACGGACACACATTCACTTATTTTACCGTGTGTAAATGAACTTACATGGCAGTAATGGACTCATTCTGAAAGGTGACAAAGGCCATTCCTAAAGGTTTCCTGTTGACCTTCTCTCTCTCTTTCCTGTAGTCCTCTTTCAGCTGTCCATCCAGCTTGGTGTAGTAACCCACTGCCTCCTCCTGTGAAGGACATTAACATTTAGTCACTCTGTGATGTTTGTTTTTATTTTACTTTATCCTCATTGCCATTACCTTAGATTACAGTAATAGTGAATATCAGTTAATACACAGGGTTAGTATAATGATATATATATATATATATATATATATAAAAAACAAACTATAACTTGCATTTTTATATGTAATAAGTAAAAAAAAAAGACACAACACTTAGTGAATGCACAAATAAATACTATCAGTACCATCTGTAATACTAGACAGCCTCTGGGATGACTTAACAACCATGTGTACTTAGTTAATTTGGTGATCATTTATATGAGCAAGTATCAATATCAACTCTTTTAACCAGTGGTGGAGAGAAATGACCAACATTTATTTTTAAATTGAACAAAAGGCAGTCAGTATTTTGGAAAATATGGGGTCCCTACATGAATACAATACTGAATGGCTAAACAGGGAGAAGTTGACAATGTTAATGTATGTAAGATGTTACCATCAAGGTTTTTGAGAGAGATGGCCTATATTTTATGTCAAACTGTATGATGCTGTTGTTTGCCCAATAGGGTGTTATCAGTATATGGGAGAGATGGCCAGAGTTATTTAAACAGGAATGATAGGCATCTAACAGCTTACATGTTATTAGTACTGGAGGTGTGAGTAGAACACATAAGCTTAGTTGTACTTGCCCTGGCTGTCACTATCTGCTACTAACATTTTGATATAGGAGTAATAATTATATTCACCACTTATATTAATGTTACAGTTGTTCGTAGGTAATTACCTTACCCTGTGTATTTTTTTTTAATACACCCGTAAGCATTGGCATTTTCAAATATATTTACTAGTGAAAATATGTTATCTTTGTGGCAGTTGTTTTTCCTGCTTAGCCCTGCTTCTCCACGAATCAAAACTCAGCTAGATGTCTTCCTTATCTTGCTGTTAGTATCAGCTTGTAAACAAGTTTTAGGAGTGTGTAATTCTGAGATAAAGTTACGATGTTAGTCTGACCCGCTCGCAGCCTTTGATGACGCAACAGCAGAGGTGTCCACAGGGCTTTGGATTGATCATGGTGGTAATATGCTCCTTGGCCTGAAGGTCAAGGAAGAATTTCTTGTTGCGCTCTGCCTTCTTCCTGCATACAAAACATTAGCTGTGTCAAACTGAAGAAGGACTATTTCAGTGAAACAGCCTCAGGTCCTGGAGCCAATAAGACATCACATTCACACACTAATGGTTGAAACAAAGTTACCTTTCAGAGTTAAGATACATCAGCCTGGCCACATCGTAACAGATCCGAGCTTCCAGTACAACACAGTTTTCATATGCATGCCTATGAGAGAAGGACAGGGAGGGAGAAGGTGAAAGACCGGATACATTTACAGAAGTACAAATGTACAGTGCAATACTTACACATTGTTGACATCAAGGGCAGTGTATTTACAGTAGTTGACATCTCTGTACTACATTATAATAACATTAGCAAGACCAAAAATGGTGAAGTGGGTGGAGGGGGTGTTGCTCAACCGTGGAGGGGCTTTTGCAGTGGACCAAAGATAAGATTTTGGTTAACACTATTTGGCCGAGTAGGAGTTGAGCCAAGCACCCCTTCCTCGGTCTTGACACATGACTTGCATAACCCTGCTCATCTGGCTTCTATTATGGACAATTACACATATAGGCCTGTCATTGTCTGATCCCAGCCATAAGGAAGAGGACAAAACAGCTGCTTTTAACAAGAAAAGGCATGGCTCTCATACGCCTTAATACAGTTACTGCACAGCTAAAACCCATGACGACAGTGCAGCGTAACCTTTTTATAAGAAGCCAGATGTAAGCATTGAGAGATATTATCTGTGGAGCCAGGACCCCAGTGACAAGTGCTTACTCAAAGTGTTGCTTTATCTCAGTCTCCTCTGCGTATTTGGAGATCCCGTTGACAAATAAAGTGCGTTTTACCTGCATGGAAGTAAAGAAAGGGAAGTAATTAGCAACAACATTCAGAACTATGTGTCCAAAAGGAGGATCTTCTGAAAGTATGCCACCCACCAGGTCATCCTCTTTGTAGTGCATCTTGGAGGTGTGCCGTCTCATGCTATACACCGTCAGTAACAGGTAGAGAAATGCAAAGGTGGTGTGTAGCCACAGTAGTGTATTACTGGAGAAATAAAGGGTAAACAGAATTTCATCAGAGGATTAGAAAGTACAACAGAGCAACAGAGTATATGCTAAATAAAGTGAAGGTAAAAGAGCTACTCACTCAGCATTCAAATTTGCTATAGTGGTTCGTCCAAAACTATAGGCATTGTTTTCTGTATAAAAATAATAATAATAATATTAATAATAATTCATTGCCACGTATTATATTGTACTGCACTCCAAACAATACAGCAAGGAATGTGGGACATGGTTTATTTTGGTACAGAAGTAAAAGGACATTTTGTTAGAGTAGAGTAATTTCCCCATTAACTACACAAAATGAAAAGTATGCTTTCATAGAAGGCAGAGGAAACTCGTGACACAAGATAAGAGACGAAGAAAAAAAGACAGGGATAATAAATTCCTGATAAATGATAGAGGCATGATAAATTATGCATTTTAAGGGCAGGTAATTTTATATGGAAGTAAAAAACTCGATTACAGCTGCAGGAAGGAGTTCGGCACCCAGGCTCCATGTTGAACCATTTAGTCACACAGGAAAAAAAGGAAATTGAAAATTCTTTGTATTTGAAAATTCTCAGATTTGTCTGAATCCAAGTATATTTCTTACAACATATTTATTTGGTGTTCTTATTATTTTACAGAATAAAAGCATGGTGCTGTACAGTTGTGTACATAATATAAATATATTATTTATATACAATATAAATAATATGTTTTTTGTGTCTAAATGCTAGACTAGATGGCAAAGTTTTGTATTATCTGTACATGGGAAGGCAGTTTTCTTCATCCGACAGAAAAAGCACAAAGACAGATTAGAAGGAAAGAGGAAGAAGAAAAGAGACCATCAAAAAGAAAATATAAACAAGCTAAAACAAACATACAAGGATCCACTGGTAGTTAATTCCAATCAACTCACCAAGCAGGTTTCCCGAGAAGTTAACGGGCAAGATGATGCCCACAGAGAGCACGCCCACCACTACCAGCAGGCCAATGATGTGTCGCTGAAAGGACAAATAATGCACTGCATCCTCACCACACTTCTCCCTTATCTCCTCATCCCTACAGAGAGAACACACCAACAAAGTCACTGATTTAAGAGCAATTCAAAGCAGAAAAAGTGTAATATCCATTTTAATCAGTGTTACACCAATTTGTCTTTTCTTCTAACATGGTGTAAGTAACTTGACTCACTTGATGCGGAAGATAGCAGTTAGCCAGGAGCAGAATCCCTGAGAAAGAAGACAGCAGAGAACTGAAGGTGCTGTTCCAGTTTTCACATGCAACATACAGTATGTCCTGCACAACACAACACAACACAACATCTTATTTTATCCTATAAGAACAATAACACACTTACGGTGTCTCTCTGATCAATGTCCACAGAGCTTGAGACTGAGGTGAGCCTTTCATAGCGTTCAGGTGTCTCTGATGTCATGGCAGAGGCCACACTGTGTGTAGAAAACACAACACATTGTATTTGCATGATGTTACACAACTACCAAACATCAGAATGAACCACAAGGGGAGGTTAGTTCTTTGCGCTTCATGACAGTGGGATTACCAACAGTATGGAAAGTTGACAAGACAAAACACACACAAACACACGCCCTGAAATGGACTGAAGAGAGTCACCCCTGTTTACCCGGCGCTGGCTCCACACAGGATTTGTGTTGATAAACCAGTCAACCACAGGAACACTCTCTGCAGCCACATTTCATGCAGCGTTAGGAGTAAGGAGTCTACTTTACACCATCACTGTCAGGGGAAAGGTTGTGATAAAGATAGAAGGTAGCGCTCTACTCAAAAGAGTATTCACCAAGAAAACAACACAAACCCAGTGGTCATCAAGAGGCAGATTTATGGAGAATGTCCAGCAGAGCCACAGGTTCTCCTGGACATAATACAGCTTCAAGCCCTTATCATTTACTGTATACACATTTGACCTCAGGGAGATCATGTCGGTTCAATTTCTACATAACTGGAAAATATGAAGAGGCCCGTGCTCTGCTGGAATTCGAACATTGGTTCAGTGTTGAACACTACATGAAAGGATGATGTCAGCCAGGGCTCTAAGAGATCTTTACTGGAATGAGGAGAGAACCTGCGGTTCTAAGCCACCATCAGTCCTCCTCTCCCACATTGCTGTGAGGAGGAAGGGCTCATCTCAGCTCTAGTAGACAGGATATACTGTAGGTGCACCATGTAAGGGCCTGTCTATGAACAACCACAGATCAGGGAAGTATTACCTCTCCCTGTAAGCATCCTGTCTGTGCAGCTCATGGGGCGCGCTCAGACAGAAGAAGAAGTCTGTGCTTCATAAAGAGGTCAATACACAGATTAGCACACACAGATCTGATTAGGATAGTGAGAGAGGACAGGGACACCCAACAGCAGAAGTACAAGAGTGGCAATGAGAGGGAGAATAATTAGGAGTCTGGCACTGGGAAACGCCTGGAGAAGGAAGAAAAAAAAAACCCTAAACCATCAAGAGTGAAAAACAGACTGAGAACCATGGTGGCCTGGGCAGAGTGGACAAGAGTTATGAGTTAGCTTAACTACAGAGAGGAAAGGAGAGAAGAAAAAGGCAGTGAGTCTACAATATGGAGATATAACATACTATTCCCGATCATCCAGGCGACTGTACCGTTGATCCATTCGTCTGGTAAAAAGAGAAGCAAAACAAAGCCATTCAGCTCAGTTAAGAGGAAATGGCCCTGTCGGCCAGTACGGGTGCTGTTTCAAAGAAAATCTGGGGAGGCATATTACACTACAGGCATACCAATGAAGGTTTCTGTTCATTCTGGTATACATTATCCTGCCAGATAATTGCATTTATGGCCTATGATTTGATAATAACCCCTTTATTCATTTGAGTTGAGAGTCAAAGCTTATGAAGCTGGAGCCACACGCATATCAAAGTTTTATCCCATTTTCAGATGATTAACTGTGTTTCCAAATAAGGAAACATTCGCATTTCAGAATTTACAAGAATTTAAAAAGACAGACAATGATCTCAAGTCAGCACAGGGTCATGAGACAACAAACTACATTTCCTGTGTGTTACAAAAGTGTCCCATGCTGCCACCCCCCTCCCATCCTCCCACCATGCTGCAACCCCACTCTCTGCTCACATGCAGCTGCAAAAATAGTGTAGCTGCAACATCACACAAGCACAGCAGGGGGATGTAGGTGATGGAGCACTGTGTCATGTACTTTTCAGGGTTCACAGTCAAATAGGTCTGTAGCGATGTCTCATCTCCCTCTCTCCCAATTTTGATCAGTCCTTTTGTTTCATCTCATGATGTAGCACTTTAAAACGGAGCAGAAGAATCAGCCCTTGTTAACAGGCTGCTCCCAAAATTTTCTCTTAATTCGATCAGTGTGTAGACATCAGTCACAAATTATCCCAATATATCTGGCAGGATATCATCGCACATTAGTGGGGAACTACAGTGCATGGGGTTTAGATGCAGACAGTGGTTTTAAAGTGGTCTGGGAAATGGATCTAATGGGGTTTTTATTTATAATTGATAAGTTACTAATCATTCTTCGTTTCTTCCTCCATTTCAGACTTATTCCAACAGCAGCCTGGCCTTTCTATTTCAAAGTGAATAAACAATTGTGACAATGCATGAAAATGTCAGTATGCTTTACTGCTATTTAAAGGAAAACTGCTGACGCTGACTTCCTGTCTGGAGCTCCATCCTTGTGATGTCTACTTCTGTCGCAAACTACGTAACTACACCCACAGAACAAGAATACATATTTTTTTCAGTGTTAACTAACGTCCAGAATGAACAGCCACCAAGTGCCAGACACTGATAAAACTTGTCTTTGGCAGATAAATCAATAAGGGTCAACAGCCACAATGGCTTGTACCTTCTGAGACACTACCATTTGAATGCTGACAAGGCTGCCATAGCCACCCTTTAGTGTAAGCTGTTTTTTGCCCCTACTGACCACCATACACTCTATAACTACAGGCAAATCACATCAAATCCCAAAGTTTCATCCACGCTAATGCATTTTTGTTTTACAACTTCTCACCTCTCCTATGTTTACTCCTGGCATCCACACAACTGTGGTGTTTCCAGCCCCTAAAACTGAGACTTCTGGAAACCCTGTTTGAAAACTCTGGGATTGCGTTTTAGTCTGGACGGAGACTTTTGGAGACGATGACAAAGAAATATTGCCTCTTGATTGGGTCTTATTAGTCACAACCACCAGTGGTGAATGCAACGTGGATAACAAATTTCAAGCCTTACTGATACAGCTGCTTTGCTAGCAGCTGTTGTGTAGTTAATTCTTCTTTGCTGTTCCCTGTTCGTAATATTTTCTGCAACTAACCAACTGGAGAGTGGACAATCTGCTTGCTGAGGTAATCAATTATATTGAACAGTAAGTTCCTCTGCCAAGATTAATTGTTTTGCCTTATTACATCATCTGGAGTTTAAGTTAACACAAAGTACAAATAACTGATTGACACTTTACAATTGATTATTTTAGCAGATTAATATTTTTGGAAGGTAATTTAGGTTAGCATCTTTTGGCCTGTGAGCCAAACAATTAACTTTGGACAAAGGTATCTACCAAATACCAACCATTAACCATCACTGTGAATTCAACATTTGTTACTTGTACAAAGAAATTGTGATGTTAACATATCAAATTTCAGCCATAATTGATATATCAGTGCATGTTGGCCATAATGTTACATGTGATACATATTGTTACATGGCAAAAAGCCTTGTTACTGGACCTTCCAGTCTGGACCAATGTGTTCTAATTACCTGTCAGCATCGGTCACCAAAGCAAGGCGCCCGTAGTCCCATGCTACTTTTCTCAAGAAGGAGAACACAAACAGCAGCCCCTATAAGTACAAAACAGTGGCTGTCAACATCTCCAGTTCCTTTATTTACATTACAGAAACCTACTGAACAAAGGTTACATAACTGCTTGAAGGTGTTTATCAATTAAGAACACATTCCTGGAAGTATTTCACCTCAGTTCTAATGAAGAAAACACAAAACACAAAACAATGAAGGGCTAGCACTGCATCATGAGTAGGATATTTTGATGGATGGTGCAAAAATTTACTCATCAGCTGGAGTAACTCGGCACTCCATTGGGCATGAACAAAGACTCACCAAGAAGCACATAAAATCAAGGGCAAGGACGGTTGGTACCCCTCCAAAAGGCAAGCCCTGGAGTACAGTACTGCGAATTCGGGCCGAGTAACAGTAGTCCTTGGTGGAATTGGGCGTGGGCGTCGGGCAGCTCTCCGAATTGGAGCATCCTTCCACTCCCCAGATGGCCATTATTAATATCAACACTCGGTGCATCACTCTACTGCAGCATGTTGACAACCTGTAAAGAAGAAGTAAAAGCTTTATAACACTTACTATGCTGATTATTACTATTCCATTCGAGCCATATTGGTCACGCTGTATGGATCTGTCATTGGTAAAATTCTGAAGAGTACCACCCTCCAGTAAAAAAACAGAAATGCAGAGAAGATAGAAATGACTGGAAACTTATATTTGCTGCCCCTTCCTACTGTTGCTGTTATTTCTGTCTAGTCATTAGTCACATGTTCTGCTGTTGCTTTTGACCACATGCGTTGCAACTTAAATCTGCTCGTTTTATATCAATGTGCACTTTCTGTTCCTTCTTCATGGCCAATATATGTGTCAATGACACATAGTTAACTTTGCTCTGAGTTGAAGAAAAATAACTGCAGTAAAATGAAAGTGCAAATACCAACCAGCAACACCGAGAGACATGTTGCTAGCGAAATGACAAATTTTAATTTCAAGTCCAATATTCTCTCTGACTCTGTCCGCCAACAGCGAAATAAACATCTGCCTTAAGCTTGCAAGATGTTCAAATGTCTTCAGCGGCCACATCCGTTTTTTCTCAGGCAGACAACATACACTCAGCTTGCCTCTGCTGGGTACAGCCATTTATTGGGGTTTGATGAGAACAGTCTATATTTGGGTTGGAGGACGAAAACAATGACCTAAAAGCTGCAGAGCGGTTGAAAATTCAGAGAAACCCTATCTCATTACAATGGGTCATTTAACTCTTGATGCGGGTTTAGGAGTCGGGTGTGTCTAACTCTAACAAATCAGACTTTACAGTGTGGCTTGTTGAAATACCTTTAAATTTTCTAACTTTACCCTCTTCCTTCCAGTCTCTGATGCATTTCAATGAGGAACAACAAGCAGATGACCTAACAAGCAACCTAAAGGCCAATGATGGAAAACATTGACAAAACATGAATAGTGTGTGAGGGAGAATGAGTCATGAGAAATCAATCTTAACATCTTAAGTAAGCCAAGATAGTCCTTTCTCCTGCCCCAGGACAAATGAAGTGAGACATCTTGGTGAGTCCTCCTAACACCAAGGTCCACATTCATCGACACAGACAGAGATGGTCTTGGTCAGGAAACAGGCTTAGATGACCATTTAAACTCCATAGCAAATATGAGGGGCAGGGCAAAAGTATAGCTTAGATAAAACACTAGACACCCAATTATTATTTGTGGTCATCTAATGATGTGTCAATACAAGCATACCCACCACCCTGGCAGTGCAAAACAATCCAATCCTGATCTAAATGCTATCACGTTTTTAAGGTGTCATATTTCACACAGACTGAACAAAGAGCTTGGAGAGGGCGCGTAGCTGTTCTAGAGAGTGATGCCGAGTGTGTTTGCACAGTTACACTGCTATATTTGTGCCCTTCGACCCACTATTACCAGCAGCATTCACGATGCTGCTCATCTGCCCTAACACTAACTCATTTATCCGCTCCCTGGAATGCTGTGACATCAGTGGAGAGGGACGCAGCCAGAGCTGAACAATAAGCCGATAGAGACCACAGGGTTCAAATGGCCCGGTCTCAACCCAAGGAGGACACAACATACCCCCCTATGCCTTCAGAAACACTGCTGCAGATCCTGGATCCATCGCCACGGCTCCAGCTGTTTAAGATTCAACACCAACATCTTAAAAATGGCCTAAGCACACTTCCCAATCATCACCTAGGTTATAGATGTTACTGTATGAGCGTACCTCTAGGCTGCAATGTCAGTGTCGTGGTTACTTTTAAAATGTACATAATATACATCTATAAATTTTTCATCGTTATGTATTATTAATCTACAGGGGTTGGACACAACAATACACGTGACAATAAAGCACTTATAATTGATTAGCAGGGTTGAGCTGAGTCAACAGCTCTTTGACTCAAAAAGTGTTTTAAGGTGGTATTCATGACAAGATTGTATTATATTGACCTGTTTAAGGTGCCCTGTCGGGTTTTATTTTAAACAAACAAACATTATTTACATTCAGTGTTTCTCCGCAAAAAACATTTTGTGTGTATCATTAATCATTAATCATCATTATCATCATTGGTTGGGGCATTTCAACAGGGGTATTAGGAAATATTCTTAAATATCTTTTAAATCATCATTTGTTTACATGCAAGTTTACTTGCATTATTTTTCTACACTGCCTTTGTTGGTACATTTGTATGTTGGCAAGCACACCATAGCATGTCCTTGTGCACATGCATGATCCAAGCAAAACAGGAGGCCATGTTGGCTTTTCAAAGTGCTAATAAATGTGTGACACATACATCTGGACCATGACTCCTGACAGCAAACAAGCAAAATTCAGGCAGAACATATCAGCTTAAATAGTAACTGACTCCCCAAGTTGATGTTTTCTGAAATCATATCCACTCTCAACTGCTGAGCTTTGCAATCAGCTTCAGTTGGATAAAAAAAAACAAACAAAAAAAAACAATATTACCTAAATTCTAGATTGTAAACAAATTGTAGCCTGTAGCTACAACCTTAAAATTTAGGCAGCACAATGATGAAACAAGGAATGTATTTTGTGTATTTTGCAAATCCTATCTGCTATTCATTTTAAATCTATAATTTTAACTTAATCAACTTAACAGATTTTCATATTCTATGACTAGTGTAACAACCCGCATTGCACACAAATGTCTAAAATCAATTAATACTAAAACAGATATTGATTTTATTGTCATTTCAAAGTCTAAAATCATTTTTAAAAGCACTGTTTGATTACAGCATGACTCAGCAGCACAGAAATACTGTGCCACCTTTCCACCTGATGCTAGTTGCCATGATACCATCAGACTGGCACACATTCTCAAAATACAAATAAACATAAAGGGATGAAAGCAGTGAGGGAGAAAATCCCATGCTTGTCCATTTGAAACTCAATCTACAGTGAGTCTGCCGTTTGCTCTACAGCTTAAGCAGGCAAAACAATGTGGTCTGTCTGACTGTTCAGGATAATATATGTCTGCTTGTTTTAGACAAACAACATCAGAGCAAAACATCTACAAGGACAAATGACAGGAAAAAGTCATACAACACAGTGCATTATTCAATTTCATTAAGGCAGCTGTATGTTTATCACATGCTAATTATATAGATGCAGACCTTTTCACTGCAACATGTGCCTCCATGTTGATGCATGGACAAATGAAATTGAAACTGCACAACACTTACTCTACACTACTTTCCATCTAAAAATAGCAACAGCAAACATATTGATGACCTTGTGCTTTTTCCATTAGTACGTGAGTCATTATTTATTTAATCTTCATAAGTTAAATATTTAAACAGGCTTTGTGTTATACTCACAGTGGGTTATGAATCAGGTTAGCAGTGGTCAAGCAACATCAACTTGAAATGCTCCACCTTTCTTGGCTAACTAAATAAAACCAAATTTAACAAAGGAGGGACACACACTAGGTGCCTATATAAATGTAATTGGTTTTTATCATCTCTTTTACACTAGCCTATAATCCAGATAATGACTGGAAACCTTCATGTGGTTGGATAAATCAACCCACTATTATGTGCTCCTTGCAGGAAAGACATGAGCAAACTATAAAAGTTCCACTTCCACCAATGTATCTCCAGTGATGTTCACTTCCTGCAACAAGTGCTGGTTCAAAACCATCACTGCGATCATTTTAATAACACACATCTACTGTATAAGTCAAAATATTTGATTTGACATGAATTCTCCAACAATGCTACTGGCTGATAAGGATGATTTGACATATTAGCCTTGTTGCTATTAGCCTATCAATAATTGACAACTACCTGGTGTATGAGTTCTCATTATCACAGATTATGACTATGTCAGAGTACAGTTTCATAATCATGTCACAGCATGTACGTTAAAACTAGACAATACAAAACAAGGAAATGAGGAAAAATGTTAAATGTTGGAGTTGAAATAAAATATCTTTCCCTCCTGACATAGATTCTTGCAAACATAATTAGTATTTATTGGTCAAAAATCTTTGTACTAAAACTTCATAAATTCAACAATAGAGAGATCATACCAACATTTAGATTAGATGGATGAAAAATTAAAGTTGATGCTATAGGAGACAAGACTATTATACTGAAAAGAACACAAGTGCACCTAGCTTCTCATCTAAAATCAGCAGCACAACATTGAGTCTGTTGTATAAATTAATTACGTTATCTCTGAAAATGTAATCTTGCTACTGTCACTGAAGTCTACCTTCAAAAGACTGAGGTGTGTGTTCCATCCAATCTTTTGATTTTAAAGGGAAGCATGAACTGATTGAAGACCATAAACGACTGCAGCTATTCAATCGATTAATTGTTTTAGTGGTCTATGAAGCAATAATAACTTGCAGTGAGTGGTCGCAGTCTTTTGAATATGAGGTTTAGTGTACTGTGAACAGCTGACTTTTATTATCCATTTCACTGCCATAAGCCATTATAAATTCAAAACTAAGGCAATTGGTCAAACTAATCAGGCAATTTTACAACATCACTTTTCATTCTGTTTGTGATGGTTGTTTATCATCATGTTTCACATTTATAGATGCTATGAATGATCAATGCCACAAAATGCAATCCAATCATAAATAGTCAACATTATTCATGTTGAAAATGCACAAATACCCTCAACATTTGTTAAGTAATGAAGCTAGTATGGCACTATTGTTTGTTTTGTTTTATCTTGTATAAAATCAGTATGAGCAGAGGTTAGGGTTAGACTGATACTTCTCCTTGAAGTACCAGTCTAACCCATCATATTGCATCAATGTCACTAGACCATAGTGTGGCTGATGACCAACATTAAGGCTGCGAGCAGCCAGCTCATGTTTATCCCTTTATAGGCTATGCACAAAGAAACACTTAGGGCATTAACTGTCACAGCCAAGCTCTAACTAGTCCATCATGAAGCCCATGTGTGTGAACCATTACAGTTTAGCCTATTAATGTCAAAGATATTCTCTAAATACATCATTGCTCAACCACTGGCTTTAACTACACAGCTGAGATATGTTAGGAATTACTGATGTTCCGCTGGTTATCTAAAGGTGTGTCTAAACAGCTAAACAGGCAAACTTTAAAACTATAGCTATATATGTATTATCTAAAATCGTTTCTAGTATCCTAACGTCCATGCAAAAGCAATCTCCCAATAGCAGATAGTCAAGCAGTCTTCAAAGTTATTTGAAAAATATCCTGACATCCCGCCTTCACTGATCTACCCCTTCGTGAACACCGGAATATGATTAGTAACAACAAACCAGACATACCCGGGTCTGATGTGGACCAGCAGGCGCTCTTAATCTGGGACTTGTGGTTTCGGGCGGGGGGGGGGGGGGGGGGGGGGGCGGCGCAATATAATAATCGGTAATGACACTGTCTAATTTAAAACAATACAAGAATCCACACAATTGGCAACCCTACTTTCGTTTATTGAGTATAACTTGCATCAATGATGAAAACCAACTTACATTGCTGCTGACCTTACTGAAGCTCGTCAACGTTAGCCTAACGCTAATGGTTACGGGATGTGTTTACTCGTTTATTGTTCTAACAACAACCTTTAAGTTCACTAGCGACGTAGCGCATCGTTATTGGCAGTTAGTTGCCACAACTGTAGAGAACAATCAAACACCTCTGAAGTATAATAGCAATAAAAACAGTTAATAAATAAGAAAAACTACTTACCTTACTATGATACGCAGCAGGGGTAGAAACTGTCACAATTAGCTAATGTGAGCTAGCAGTCAGCCGTAACGTTGACGTTAGCTAACTTAGCCCCTCGATGTAGCAAATAACAGGTGGAGACTGTCTAACGACTGGTGGCTAATTCCCGCATCAAACTGGGTTTCGTTGAACTTCCCCGGCCACAACACTAAAGCTAACCAAATGGCGTTAGTCAGTCAAGCGGTCAAACTGTTAGTAATGACAGACAGCTCTCCGCTGCCTCGGTTATGTCTGTCAGCCGGTTGAACAACTCTCGCTAACCCGACCAGTCCTACTGCAGGCGCAGCCAGTCAGGTTTACAGCGTGACGTACATAGAAGAAGACGAGATAGAGACGCCACACATCTTTCTACGCCATGAGACCGAAATCTCCATGGTCTTCGTTGTATAGCTTCTATACTCTCTATTTCTATGTAATCGCCCCAGCGCGTTTGTATGACGTATTACGAAGTACAAACAAGCTAACCGATTTTGTATTGTCTTTATAAGTATTCTTAATTGTACGAGCACAAATGGGTTGACAGTCAACAACAATTATCAAACTAATGCGGATCTTCCCATTTTCAGTAAGGAATATGTATTTCTGATAAGCTAATGAATATTGTGTTTATCAGCTAACTCGGCTAAAGACAGTCTGTCGCGTGTCGCTGACGCCACATCTTTGACATTGGCATGGAGCGTGATAGAAGGGTAATGCTAACAAGACAGACGTTTTAAACTTAAATTTCAGATTCATTTAATCTTGTATTTGAATTATTATTGGGTATAAAACAACAAACCAAAAATGATTCGGCTCTGTTGTCAGGAGTTGTGATTTTTTTTAGATGTTGCTAGCGATATACTTAGCAAACCCTTTAGCTTATTAGCAGCTAACTGTGTATACTTTCTCTCTCTAGTTGGCACAGTACTCGCTGTAGGTATGGCTCTCCCCCAGCTTTCAAGATCCCTTACTGGACTCCTCGTAAACGCATCGTCCATAATTCATCCGAGGACGTTTAGGTAAGATATTTTTTAGGTTTAGAGCCAAATATTGTGTAAGACTTTACAGTTAGCATGTTAAGTCGGTGTGGTCTGGGTAACTGTCAACTTGACATATTTTACTTAAGTTCTTAAAACAACTACAATAAGTTTAAACAATTCACTGGCACAGTGACATGCTTCAGCATGTCTGAGTGAATTATTAACTCCCTCTCTGATGTTAATGACAAATTTGCTGGATTACAGAATTTACTTAATTTTGCAATATCAATGGCTGAGAAATGCATGTTTTCACAGGGATGTAACACTTTGTTGTTACTGTATGATGTCAGTATAAGGTGTTGCTAGGGTTTGTATATTGGTATAACAATAGCAACTCTGACAGCTTCAAATTTTGTGGCCCCTTATTCCAGTGAAGCCAGCACGGATGCTGTCACAATTTCTTTGAGTTGTTTAAGCCTACAATGGTTATCAGAAAATAGATGGAAGTGAGTAATGCAACTTGTCCAGAGTAATGTGGTGAATTTTTGCTTTAAACTTTTCCCAACAGGAAAGTTAATTTCTTGCATGATTGCTGACTGAGTGTGATCTCTGAAGGAAAACTGAACTCATTAGCATGATCTGTGATATTTGGTAAAATGCAGTGCTGCAGGTGGTCCTGCAAGTTGAAGATGACCTTTGTACTTTTTGTCTTGCCAGTCTGTCCACTGTTGCTGCAGCTGTTCAAAAAATGACAAGAGTCCGTGTAGTGGACAACAGCAGTCTTGGAAATACCCCATATCACCGATCGCCAAGAGTGATCCATGTCTACACCAAGAATGGCGTAGGGAAAGTTGGTGACACAGTGTTGCTCGCCATCAAAGGACAGAAGAAGAAAGCGCTAATCGTTGGACAAAAAATGCCTGGAGAACGCATGAGTCCACGTTTTGATTCGAACAATGTTGTTCTGATCGAGGAAAATGGGAACCCTACAGGTACAAGGATTAAGGTTCCTATGCCCACACATCTACGGAAACTGGAGGGAGACTACTCTAAAGTGTTAGCAATTGCTAGTTCATTTGTTTGATAACTCCATCATTCAGCTGTGATTTTTTTTGAAATACACATACTCTGTATGTTTCACATCTGCTGGGGTGTATATGAACATTTTATGCTTGTTTATATTTGCTTTTTTCTTCAGTAAACTTTAAAAGAAGCATATATGTCCTTACAGTATCCTATCATTACTTAATATATGTAATAGACTCAAGTCTTTGTCAACATGTTTGACTTTTGCTGAGGCCTCTCTATGCTTACAATAAATATAACCTTTACTGTGAACTCAAAGGAGTTTCTGGTGCAGTCTGAGCAGCCAAATGTGGAGCAAATTCATGTAATCATGAACACTGAACAAACTGAGAACGCATAAACCATGAGGTAAATATTTATTGAAGGCACAACATACATTCACAACATGAAACACATGACTGGCACATTTTAATAGCCATTTATAACATAATGGTGCAATGTATAAGGCATTCAGTATCATGATCCCTGCAAATCTTACTTGAGTGGACTGTTGATAGTATTTGTCACTAATGTGAGGCAACTTCACTAACAGCTTCTTAAACTAAAGTCCGAGTGCAAAATAAAAACAATATAGGTCAGCTGCGTGACTTCAATTTCGATCAAAAATACTGTAATATATAAACAGGCTAAACTTCATTATCAAATGCCAAAAAATAAAAAAAAACAAAACAAAATCCCCATAACTCTGAAATCTGATTGGTCTGTACTGCCACCTGCAGGTGCAAGAATGAAACTACAAACCACATGATTTCCTGTTAAAAGACATCTCTGATCAAATCAGGGAAAAGTGGAAATACAAGTACAGAATGATTAAAAGAAACTATAAGACTTACCTTTTTAAAGCACTACAGTAACAGACTTAGAACCTCAATGAAATTTCATCTATTTTTTATCCTGCTTTGTGAAAAAGTCTTTAGTAAGATGCCAATATTAGATAAAGAGAACAGTTAGTAAATCTGTTGATATTCATACAGACAGCAAAACTAAAATGAGGAAATATAAAATCAACTGTTTACAATGCACATTACAGCTAGTGATTTTTGTCATGCACAGACTCATGCTGATTTTACAAAGAGGACAGATTGATGTGGCACATGGACTGCTTCATACTGTAGGTTTGCATAGTTTCTAAAACACGTCTCGGTTGGACTTTGGTTTATAGTTATACAGCTCTTTTGCTAGATTCGGTGCTGAGGTGGGATGTGTTAAAGGATCAGCAGGTTTCTAAGGCTGAGGGGTCTTCAGGGCTCCTGGTTGGTGGCAGTCTGTACCTTTGTTCTATACCCTCTTCCAGTAAAGACTCCTCTTCAACCACACATTGTCAGGTAAAGCCACTAGCGATGATAAAAAATTAAGTTAGACGAAGAGAAAAGAGTGACAAAATGGACTCAAGTCCTCTTTTTAAACAGGACTCACCTCTGTGAGATTCAGCTCAGCCTCTCCTGATGCCTCCTTGTCAAACTGCTGGAAAGACCCTGTTAAAAAAATTGAAGTGTTCGTAATTTGTTATTCGTGTCGTAATTTCAACTTTATTAATATTTAATATGGTGTAAATATATGGTGTATATATTTATAGTAACATCTCAGCAATGTTACTCACTAAACATGGCTTCAAGCTTGACCAAGCAGCAGATGAAGTTGTCAAAGTCAATCATCTCATTCTCTGCATACCGGGCTACCAGGATCTGGTTCAGTCTGTTATTCAGTTTAAAACCTACAAAGGAGCACAACAGAAATAAAAGAAAGGGCTGCAGTTCTCATCTGTGAGTGTGTGTGCTGGTATATGAATGTGGAAATGATACTCAAGAGTATTATACCTGCTGCCTCCACAGCAAGACGCATCTCATATGAGCTCATGGCCCCTGACTTGTCAAGGTCAAACTGTCTGAAAACGACCTGGGAGACAGCGACAGAAATGTAAAGAAATACACAGAGAGTCTAAGCGTGCATAATGTTCCTTGGACATTGTAAATATTTGAATCATTCTTACCAGCCAGTTTCGGATCTTGTTCCAGAGGATCTGAAACTCCACCAGCCCTAAACGGGCACTACCGTCTTTCTGGTAAAGACAGTGTCAAGGAATGAAACTAACCACAAACGATCACTAGCATGTTAAATGCATGCTTTTTTTTGTTCCAAATAGAAATATTGATAAAATTTCATAACATTTTTGATCAATTCATGCTTGATAAATCATTAGGATACGTCCATCAGGTTGACCATGGTCCGACATGATTCCATACTGAAGCCATCAGTCTTCAGATCTTTGTCTGAAAGGGCAAAAACACTCATCTGAAACAGTCTGATCTACAGTGACTCTGACAGAGAGGCAGTCCGGGAAATGAACGCTGCACACTCAGTGCAGTGGAATCTAATACAGTAATGGTAGATGTATTACTAATATGAAAGCCTTCCTGCATCTACGAATTGTCTAAAAATAAAACTCACGCCGGGCGACGACTCTGTTCAGAATGGTCCTGAGCTCGTGAATAGAAATCTCCATATCCTGGAAAACACAGTAGACAAGAGAAGAGAATTTGCATGTTTTCAGTTCAAGTAAGAGCAGATTTATCAACTTCATTTTATTTCATAACAAGGGGTTAAATCTTTTAAGCTATAGATATTATCTAAAAGACCACTAAAAATACCACAACACAATATTGCCACTATTATCACTCTATGAAAATAGTTTATGTAGTTTTCGCAAGAACAAATACAAACACAGATGTTTTTCAGAGCCAACCTCTCCTGCTAGCTGGGCGAACATGGATTTAAAGGAGTCATCAATATCGTCTTCAGTTATTTCCTCCTGTAGGAAAGCAAAACAAAAGCACCGATTCTTAAACGGGATCCTACTTATGTCATGATATTCATATTGTAGATTCTTTTTTCTTTCTGCGTTGTTCATGTGTCAATTATACGTACATCGTCCGCTAAATTGGCAGAGATTTCATCATCCAGTTCTCTGCAATGGACAAAAACAGTATGAGTTTTCCATTTCTACACCTAAACGCATAAAGTGACCTTAACATCACATAAGAAAGGCACATACTCTGTTTCTGATTGCTTCTCAGTGAAGACTCTGAGGACAAAGTCAGCCTCTTTCCCAGGCTCAAAGGTAGAGGGGACGATGAGGTACTCCCCAGGGGGCAGACGCAGACGCGTGCTCACCTCCCTCAGGTTAATGAAGGTCTCTGAGCGTGCGCACGATGAATGGTTCAAAAAGAAATTTTTCTTCAGGTGGACATTCTGGCAGCCTCTGTACTAAGGGCAGTAGGAAATAAAACATCTGTCAAGATGCATTTCCATGTTTCACTTTATATTACTGCCAACAGCATAACAGAGTTTTGATCAGCATTACTGTATGATATACAGCGTTTGTTGTAAATGGTTAAAATTGTGCCAAGACAGCAGTATGCTGCTCAAAACACAGCGGTTGTGTTTAATGCTCGGCTTACCTCTTCTGGGATCTGCAAAAAAGATAAAAGGAAAAAATGAACATGTATAAACTGAGGCAAAACTTTAAAAGTAATGTAGTAAACAGGTGAATAAACCAGGAGAAGATAGAGGAGACAATAACGATTTTTCATCACTGTTCTCACCTCATAGAGAGCAAAGCCAATGGTGTGCATGTCCTGACCGTGGTGCCGATATCTGCGGCGGTCCTTCTGCATGAGCGCTACTAAAAAACTGCAAGCCACCTCATCGTCCTCTGGATCATCATCTTCCTCCAGCAATGTGATCTTATACTGAGGGTTGATCCAAAACGTGTCTACACAGATGGTGCACACAGATTTGTGTTAGCCTGTTTCATAGTCGAAGTGACATTACAGGACCTGTTGGTTTTGCTGTTTGTGAGAAATGTCATCAATTGCTGTAGCGGTGAAATAATCCGTCAGTGTGTGCACTTATGCATGAAAGGCATTTTTCCTGTGACCAGAGAGTTGCGACTCACTGGGATGGTTCCTGCAGCCTCCAGCGGTGCTGCCTCTCCTCCACGTGCCATAAAACTTTATGGTGTTCCAGTGGCTGAGACCGTCATCGCTCAGAACATCAGGAGTCAAGTTGCAGATCTCTAGCCGAGAGAACTGCCTCGTGAACTCACTGAAGGACATCCTGGAGGGGTAAAATTAGTTTTGAGTCAAAATCCTGAGTGCAGCTTTTTTGAAGTGAAAATTTCCACAATGTGCTCAATTAATTGTGGTTAACAGTTCTCATGTCTGTCTGTTAACTATGAAACTGGGCAAGGAAGTGGTTACTTTAGCTTAGCACAAAAAATGGAATTAAGAGAAACAACTAACAACATGTTATGTCTCGTTTACTTAATCCATACAAAAACCAAATGAAAAAAAAACACAGGAAAAATACTGCTTCTGGCCAAGAAATAGTCCTGCACATAACCCCATGTAAAACCCCATTTTACATATATTTGTACTGATTAAGCAAACAAGATAACATGTTAATTAGTGAGCTTTAACCGTGCTGATGGGTGGATTTTGTTATCTATGGAAAGAACCAAACTAGCCGTTTCCCCTTGTTTTCAATCTGTGTGCTAAGCTAAGCTAAGCTAAGCTAACCATCTCCTGGCTAAAGCATAATATTTAGTGTGTAGACCCGAGAGTTGTACATTAAATTCCCATACTGGGACATCTTACCAAAACTCCCCGTCCTCCATCTTAAGATGCAAGTCCTCTCGTTCAGAAGGGTCGATCTCGTCCCATTCAGGTGCACTGCACATGACGAGACAAAGAGACAGGAATAAGTGCTGAGGAGGACATATAATACTCATACAGACCACAGAGGTTTATGCTCCGGTGCACTCACTTGTCACTCCAGGCACCAGTCCACTCCACCTGGCCCCAAGGGTTACGTACTCGGATAAGGCGTTCCATGTTGCCACGGAAATCAACCTACATGACAGCAGAGTGATGGGACACTTGGAACCATAGCTGTTAATTATAATGTTAACCTATTAAAGACTATAGAGTCATACACAGACAGACCTCCTTCAGCCCAGTGACAGAGTAGGCGTGGCCCTTCACAAGCTTCTTGAATGTTACAGCCTCCATGTCGAAGGCGCTGGTGATCTGTAAAAACATGACGTCTTCATCTGAGTAAGGATTGTCTGGCACAGAAATGAATAGACATGCTTTTAATCTAATTGGCTTTCTCAAGATGGTGCAACACCAATGTTCGTGTCTTGATGGTGCGCCAGTGTGTTTAGCACTCACATCGATCGAGCAGCCCAGCAGGGAGCCTCTCTCCAGAGCTTTGTAGATTATCCTGTACAGATTTCTGGGAGGCTTGCGCAGCTCGTACATCTCAGACACACCACCTGTGAAGTCCTCAAACCCTTCAGTGGTGCTTCCTCCGGACAGAGCCTCATAGGAGCCATTCAGCCTGATACCATGTTAAAGAAGCAGCAGTAGTTCAAAACATGATTTACAGCTTCCCAATAAATACACTCATACTGAATAATTCAGCATCTGGCCAGGCTCTTTCAATACCTACTTAGCGTAAGCTTTCTCCAGAAGTGCACTCCAGAATTCGTTGCCCTCAGCTGAATGGACGAACATGAGCTCTGTGTCTTTGACAGGCAATCTGTCATCAATGACAACATCCACCCACTCCCCAAACTGCCAGAACTGCAACATCGAGCAATAAAGGAGAACAAGAACTCCATCATCTGAATTGCTTGCTTTACTCTGGAAAAGGAAAGGGCAAAGACTAGAAAATGAAGTACCTGGAAGTGGAAGATACCAGCATAGTCGTCTTGGAAGGACTGCCCATGTGGGACGACCCGATGAAGAAGCCTCTCGTTCAGGGTGAGAGAGCCGATGGCTGCCAAGAGCCAGCAGTCACCTACAAATGAGAAGAAGCATTTAGGAAACTCCATCCAGTTATGTTTTCCTATTGTTTTTCCTTGACAATTTTAACATTAATGCTTTAACCAACAAGGACGCACCCAGCGCTCCCTGGCAGATGTCTGTTCTGGTGGCGCCATCCACAATGAACTGAGGGTCATCAGTCAGTTCCTATGGAAAAATTAAACGTGTGGATGAAGACAAAAATCGATCGAATACACAGAAGCTTGTCCAGTCAACACCATTTATGATCTACTTTAAGGGCGACACATTTCTTAAACAGCTGCTCTTCTTGCATCTACACGTCAACTTCCTGTTTTAATGACGCACTGTAAACAAATGTCACAGCAGGGAGTGGTCGGAGAATGCCACAGGATGCCAACAGCTGCAGACAGTGGTCTGAGAAGTTCTGTTCGTACTTGTCCCATTCTGTCTGAGTTTGCAGACAGGAAATAAGATAGTGTCATTGATATGTTGCTTACATATGATGCTCTGCTAAGTCCAAGTCATCAACAGCAACAAACTGCTGTTGTGAATGGTTACAAGAGGCCTTCCACAGAATAATGAGTGAGGTATTTCCAGGTATTTCCAGCTTCAGATCTGGAGTCTGTGTCTTAAAAATATCTATTTATCTGTAGATGTGTGTATATAAAGTATATGTAAAACTATATGTAAATGTAATTATTATATATAATTATTATACAAATAATTATTCCTCCTGCCAAGTTTTCTCACCGTGGGTCTCATCCACACCACATCTCTAGTTTTGGAGGAGTAGGGGGCGAGCTCCTTGAAGCCCAGGGATGGAGGCTCAGCTGGGAAACAGGGGTCTTCAAACAGGCAGCCCGACTCCACACACTCTTGTTTCAGAGCTTCGTAGTCCTGGTTGGAGAAGCGCACAGCCTGCTCCTTGGAGCCCATGCCTTCTGCCCGGAGCCTGTTGGCGTATATCGTAGCAGAGATCCCTCCGGCTGGATGCATGCTGGTGCAAGATAAAAATAATGCAGCTGGTGGGTATGCACGGTGCTGTCTATAAATAGCAGAAAGCTAATCAGTGGCATACTCTTGTCTTAGAGTTACAGCACACCAATCAGGTGTGTAGAGAAATAATGTTTATACAAGTGCTTGAGATGGATTTTTTTGTCCTGCTGATTGGATTGAATGTGCCTTCAATCAATTAGTCATGACTCCATGTTTATTCTACATTCTGTTGTTTGCCTAAAAGTAAAAACACTGAATACTTTGAAATTACAAGAACAAGCCAAGAATGTAGCCACTGAGGAAACTGAGGTCAGGTCCTTTATATTCTATTCACTCATTTACTGAAGGTGTAGGTTTAGCAACCTGAGGGGATTTTACATTCTACAATTAAAAACTTGGACATAATGAATATTTCATAAGGTCATTTGTTTTGTTTTTTTCAGACTTAATACGTTTGAATCTGAACACTTTGAGGTCAACAAAATAATAATAATAATGATAATAAAAAAAAAAAAGGTTTCAACATTTTTCCCCTGAATTTTGTTCCTGGCAGGTTGGAGAAGGTTTTCATTACCTTCATGAGCTCCTCCTTATCCTCTTAACTAAGAAGATTTGAGGATCTTATTTTTTGTTCTCTGGTTACATTTTTCTGAGAGTGGTAGGGGTTCGTTGGTGGGATTTGACCTCAGCATTTCCAAAGTCCTGGCAATGGCCCAACAAAAGACAAATCCACCCTCAATAATGGTGTGTGGATGTTAATGGTGAGTGGTGACGTATTAAATCAAATTAAATGTGCTGCTATGGAAACTTCAGATAGAAAACCACTATACAGAAAAGAATAATAATAGACAAACAGAAAGCATGTACAGAAGAAAAGCGATTATGGAGAAATGTGAGACTATAACAGCACAACACCACCTTAAACACAGCAAACCCAGGAACAACAAAACAAGTGAGAAATATGATACCTTGGCTGTATAGGTAGGCTGAGAGGGAGAATGAGACAAAAAAAGAGAGAGAAATGTCATTCACTGATGTTCTGGCAGTGGTAAAGATGAAGTGTTCTTTCAAATAATCCGGATAGCCCCGGGTTGATGAAGCTTTGCACAGCCATGCCAGAAAAAGCAGGCCTCGGTGGACATTAGTGTTTACAACTCAGTGGGGGTCATTTTTTCTTCCCTGAAAGCACTTGTGTTTCTCTGCTGGCAAAGTTCACAACTGTCAGTCGAATCTCCAGGGAGGACACAAGAGCTCTGTGAGGAAAGTAGGGGTTTAAAAGAACCAAATAAGTCAAGAAACTAACTGCAAGATTTAAAGTTGTCACTTGGCTATCCTTGTCTGACTCAGTGCTGGAAAATATGGGGCACGGGATTGTCTTTTATGCCGCTCTGCTCCACATGAGAGGAATCCTAATGAGCTGAGTTTAGCGAACAGTCCGGGCATTCAAAGTAGCAAGGAGAAACCTGGATGGAGCTACAGTGGTACAGTTAGAAATAAAGGGACATCAGATGTGTTGCTGTGCAAAACAGGTCATGCTTTTAACAGAAACAATTCTGCAGACAAGACATTGTTAATAGGGACGGCACCCCCCTCCCCTACCCTGAGGCCCCATATGCCTGTAGAGTCTGCAGGAATGTCCCTCTGCTCTGTAAAAGAGCTAGAGAGAGGCGACTGCTGGCTATTGACCAAAAGGATATCTCTCTTTCCCCCCCAATGGGCAGAGACAAGCTGATCCATGCAGTCCTGTGATGATGATGTCATCCATAGGACTTTAACCTCAACAATACTCCAAACCAACCAACTACCCTCTTAGTCAAAATACTGCACAGGGACCAACACTGGCATCTCCTCTAAAAATGCGTTAGCTACTTTATGAATTAATAGGCCTGATACCATCAAACAGGCACAGTATGTCAGATATGTAGTCTGCCCAGACTGCTTACAGCACCTGTTCAGCAGTAAAAGTAGGCCTGTGTTTCTATGCGCACTGGCCTGCGGGTAGACTCAAAGATTTCAGACAACAATACATCTTTATCAACGCGATCACACTCTGGATATCACAGGTGAATGAAATCTGTGCGTCTGAAGATGACAGTTGTAACTGCGTTGACTATTATTAGTGCCACAGGAGACAGTATATTAAAGCAGACATACCGCAAAGGAGGCCTACGCTGCAATATAAGCACGAGGCACCGTTAACCTTAAGCCGGTTTCATTAACACAGTCATTGTAATAAGATGAACAAGACGGCTGCACTCACCACCGCTTCAAACGCAAACTCGCAGCTCCTTCAAAACGAGTCTGATGGTGGTAATCGAGTAAATCTGGGTAAAAGGGGTGGGCAGTGGTTTGATAGCCAGGAGCGCAGGTCCAGCCCTCTCCACTACACACTCAAACACACACACACACACACACACACACACACACACACACACACACACACACAAACGCATATACACATTCACCACACACACATACTGCAGGAAACAGTACCCGCTACTGGAGGAGGGGCCACTGCTCACTCCCAGCACCACACACTTCCGCTAGAGGTGCTGATGATAGTGGGTGTAAAATTAAATACAAGCTAATACCGTAGGCTACATTGTATTTAGACCTAAATATATTTAATCGGCCAAAATACAGCACAGAAAACAAAAAATAAAGAATTTACTATGAGACAATGTATGATTAAAATCACAAATAAAAACCAAATATTTTTTAATAGTGTAGCATATAGTCATAGAAATATCATTCTATTCAATTCAACTCAACAAAGAAACAATAATACAAGAATAAGCAATGTTAATCATAAAGCTTAAAAACTATGTGGGATTGGCAGTAGATACATTAACAAACTAATATTATTTGCAAGATGTTATTGTAACAACATCTTTTATGTTATACCATGCTTTACTGTATGTATGCAATACATAGAGTGTATGCTGGATGTACAGTATCATATACAAACAGTTTATGTATGTATATGGGATATCAAATATGCTTTGGTCAAAAACAGAAAGATTCTATTAGAAAAAGTCAATTTAATTGCTATCCTATTCCCGTGTTATTTTATTATGCATATTTTTGTAATATAATGTAGAATGGAATTTTACTCAATTGAAGCAGCAACTACAGTGTTGACAGGTGAATATAAAGTATTATCACTATAAAAGTTAATCATTGCACATATGTAACTGTTACCTGAGTAAACTCCACCTCTCATCTATGTCAATCATATTGATAAACCCCGCAACCTGAAACAGTTGTGAGTCACCTGAGAGATAATGTGCAGTAAAAGGTTAAAGGTCACCAGCCACCACATCAATCAGACTGAAACCAATCTAATTTACAGATGCTATTGTCCCATATTAGGTTATAATGTAGCCAAGAGTTTATGTTGCTCCACAGGCTATATCAAGAAATGTATGCATATTTATCAGCGACAGAAAATGAAATTTATGCATGTAACTTGAATACTTCTCTGCGTCAATCAGGATTTAGCATTTAGCAAAATTTGAATCAGAACAAACAGTTGGTGGATTGTTAAGTCACTATCATCAAACCACACAGTCCTAATAAAGCAGATTTGAGAGTTTTTTTATGTTGATCTCTTAATAAACAAATATGTTTATGTTGCTTGTTTACTCATGAATTTTCAATGTTATAGAGAAATTCTTAAAAGTTTGCAGAGCAGGGTCCTCGGTGGACCTCCTTACCGAAAAGGTACATATTCTCCTATGTCCAATATCAGTCAATTTAACCAAAACTGCTCAGAGTAGGAACCAAATGTATAAGTTAAATTAATGTTGCATTCAATATTGCATTAGCTCTTACTTAATAATAATGGATGCTGTCTATTAGCTGTTTAGTAAAAGCAACAGTAAATGAATAATGAATCATTTGTAATGCCATGTAAGTCCAGTAATAATGTATTCTATCAATACTGGCATTTCATTATAGCCATGGTGAATCAGTTACTAAAATAAGGAGAGTCATTAACCATGATTGCACTTGGGATGGTTTAAATGACATTACAACTGTATGCTTTTATCCGTCCTTGTCTGAGTAGTTATCATGGCTGAACAACAACCAAGGAAATAAACAACAAAAGGGTTTCTTTTATGCTTAATCAAATCAGTAAATTAATTTTACTACCACTTCAACTTAGCACCACACACAGAGATCAGCGATCACATTGTACGGAAGTATACTTACTATAAAACTCTCCACAAGTCTTACGGCTAAGCCTGAAAAGCAGAGGGGTATGGTTAATATTGACACTCATTTGTCGTGTAATGTTCCCAAACAATACTGTGTACACACAGCATTGAGTGGTTTATGACCCACCCTTCTACCAGCTCGGCACTGAAGAATATACTTCAGAGGAAATCAGCTCTTCAAACAAGAAAAGTTCTGACAACTGTCACCACAGGATCTGTTTCTTTAATGTCAACACATGAACTGCCTACCAGATCAGACATCCTGCACCACCAGCACTGGTCTGCAGTTTAGTGACTCCTCTATATGTAGCTATAGGTCATTTAAACAGGGGTGGATTCACTACCATTCACTACCTTTTATGCATATCCTCATTCATCGTGAGTGTCTGTGGTACTTCTGAAGCTTCAGCATTACTCATCTTCATTTAAAACAAACATTGTTGTTTCAGTGCTTCTTCTGATTGAACCAGCTGATGAAACTGACTGAGAATTGTTTGACCAAGGATTAGCTTTGCTTTACTTTGCATAGAGGATGTAAGAACAGAATAAGGATACAAGATCACACTTTGGAGCATAATGTGTGTGCTCCAGAGCTGGCTGAGTGCAGACATCCTCCAGGCTTAGTGCTGCAATGTCATTAATATCCCACTCTTAGTCTTGCTCAATTTAACAATTGCTTCATTACATGCATTTAAGCTTCCCTTACTCAACTCTCAGCTGTGTGTACTGAATGTAATCCTTTACAAGACTTTGGAGAAAAAACACCTCTACTGTTTTTGTTATAGATTGTTACAGGAGGCCCAACACCTAAGTTTCATACGAATATAAATCCAACAAGTTGTTTGTTTCCTTTGCTTTTAAAGTGGAAGACAATAAATACAATACACTTCCCCGCACAAATACACACACCCAACATAACAAGTGAGGTAATGAAAATGGTCCTTCAATTTGCATTTAGGTGTGTCCCTGTTTGTATTTCAGCTGTGGCCACAACCATCTCATTGCAGATTTGCTTAGGGTTGCTGGTGTCTGCTCTGTTCACCTCACCTGTCCATTGGAGGCCCCTCCCTGTTTGTGATCCCGCCCTGTCTTCCCATCACCTGTGGCGGCTATAAATGAGGCCGAGACAAAGACAGGTCTGGATTGTGTTCAGCTGGTGGAGTGTCAGCTCACAAATCAAGTCGACATCCTGCACAACTGAGAGCTGAGGATGACTTCCACAGCAGCACGACTGGCCCGTCAAAAGGAGAAGGAACATGGCGTTGGCACCAACCAGCAGGCAGTGAAGTTCTCCCATCAAGATTATAAAACTTTGCGCCAGCAGTGTCTGGAGAGTGGACAACTGTTTGAGGACAACTGCTTTCCGGCTGAGAGGAAATCCCTGGGCTACAACGAGCTGGGACCATACTCATCCAAGACCAGGGACGTGGTCTGGAAGAGGCCAACGGTAGGAAGCCACTGAAAAGAGACACAAAGCAATGAAAACAAAAAAGTAACATAGTTTTTACTGTAATATTATCATCTCGTCAAAGCAAGAATTGTGGGAGAGGAGGTGAAGACAAGGAATTTAAAAAGAGGAGCTGTGACTAATTAATTTCTAACTGCAACTGGATGAGAGCACTTGAAAAATCAGAGTAGGTTCAATCAAAGTGATCAAAGAAGCTATGAGTGGTACACGGTGGTGTAAGCTTACTTACATGATCTGTGTGAGGATTAAACAAAGCTGATTTAAATGGAGATAAGTGCTCACAGATCCAGAACAAAAGGAAAATTATTTTTGGGCTCTTAATTTCTTGTTCTGGATCGTAGTGATACTCCTGTGTGTGTAAAATCTTTTCAGGGGTGTATTTTTTTTTATTTTAAAGACATGTCATCAAAATAAAAAAATCATAAAATGGTCCTTCCTATTCTTCTATCTCAGTAGTGTGATACTGGAAAATCCATTTGCAATGATCCTGTTTTTTTCTGATTCTTAGTCAAAAATAGTCATTTATAGGATTCAGCATCTACAGTGTTTCATCCAGGCATCTCTTCATACTTCCCATTATTAAAGGAAATATTTCTCAAAACTACCATCAAATGTTCAACTTGTTTGTGCTTCTTTATAGGAGCTCTGTTCCAACCCGAAGTTCATCGATGATGGAGCCACAAGGACGGACATTTGCCAGGGAGCTCTAGGTGAGTGGGCGGACAGAGGGTGGGTGGATGCTTTTTAGAAGGGGACCGCAAACATCTGTGGAATAAACCCTCCACCCATTCGCCATGATGATTGCAAAAGGAAGAGCTTTGTTGGCACATGCTGTTTACAGCACTATTGCACTGCGGTGAGCACCACATGCTGCTGCCCAATCTAAGAGCCTGTATCTGCTCTCACTGTGCAGGTGACTGCTGGCTTCTGGCTGCAATAGCCTCTCTGACTCTCGACCACAGGATCCTGGCTCGTGTGGTGCCTCCAGGACAGAGTTTCACCGAAGATTATGCCGGGATATTTCACTTCCAGGTCAGACAAAGACGCTGTTGAGTTGAGCTCATGTAGAGTTTTGTATCCAAAATCCAGCAAACTGTACCAAATACAACAAACAGTGTTACACTCTGTTTCATGACAAAATCGTTGTGACAATAGATTATAATCAGTGAAACAGTGTAGATCATTTGCATGCATTTGACTCCAATTTTAAAGCAGTTACCCCATGTCACCTGTGGCGTTATATGCAGAGAACAGAACAGATAATCCAGGGATCACATAGCTGCTAATGAGTTGTAAAACAGGACAGTTGAATGAACTTGGCAGTTTATGAAGTATTTGATGCCAAGTTGACTGATGGGAATATTTTCCTCTCAGTTCTGGCAGTTTGGTGAGTGGGTGGATGTGGTGATCGACGACCGTTTGCCCACCAGAAATGGAAAGCTGCTGTTTGTTCACTCAGCCGAGGGCTCTGAGTTTTGGAGTGCACTGCTGGAGAAAGCCTACGCTAAGTATGGATTATTCTTATTCTATCCTTTGTTTCATCAAAACGTTAATGCAGTGTGAATGTATAAATACAGCTGGTGATTCTTTTCACTTCCTTCTGTGTCTGACAGGGTGAATGGCTGCTATGAAGCTCTGGCAGGTGGAAACACTATTGAGGGTTTTGAGGATTTCACAGGAGGAATTGCAGAAATCTACATTTTAGACAAGGCTCCAGCAAACCTCTTCCAAATCATACGGAGAGCCCTGCGCCTGGGCTCACTGCTGGGCTGCTCCATTGATGTAAGTCAGCTTTTTCCTACTGATTTGCATACCAATCTGTGAACAAGCACGGCAACCATTATATAGGACTGATGGCATTAGACTGAAATATTTGTTGTCGGTGCTTTCAGATAACCAGTTCCTATGAGACAGAGGCAGTTACTGCTCTCAAACTTGTGAAAGGACATGCGTACTCAGTCACTGGTGCAGAAGAGGTACAATTTAACTTTTATTGTCTTATTTTTTTAACTGCAATGCGAGTTACCTTGCCAACTCTTGCTTTCTCCTTCAGGTTCATTACCAAGGCCGGCTGGTTCAGCTGGTCCGCATCAGGAACCCATGGGGTCAGGTGGAGTGGAAGGGGCCTTGGAGTGACGGGTAAGTAATTATGTTCTATATCCATTAACCATCAGCTACCACTGGTTCATTTCAAGATTTTCCTAAAAGCATGATTGTTTATCTAAATTAGATCCAGTGAATGGACACACATCAGTGAAGAAGAGAAAGTAAACCTGAACCATGTGGCTGAAGATGGAGAGTTCTGGTAAATCTACTGTCCTTAACCGTTCAGTTACATCATATATTTTGCTGATACTAGAATATGGATTAATAATCACAATCTCTTAAATCACCACAGCAACTAGAAGTTCATGTGTGAGCAATAACATTACTTTCTTTGAGGAGAACTGTGTTTCTCTTCTCAGGATGTCTTACTCAGACTTCATCAGGCAGTTCTCCAGTCTGGAGATCTGCAACTTGACCCCAGACTCACTCAAGAGCGATAATGTGGGCCACTGGAACCATTACCAGTTTGAAGGGATGTGGAGGATCGGCTCCACTGCTGGTGGCTGCCGCAATCATACCGGTAAGAGAGAAACCATACGTATTGTATGTCTGAGCAAGGAGTTCTTTTACTTCATTTAAATGTTGACACTTTTTTAAAATGTGTTTCAGCCACATTCTCATCCAACCCACAGTTTGTGGTGTGTCTGGAGGATGTGGATGATGATCCTCTGGATGGGGAGGATGGATGCACATTTCTGGTGGGGCTGATGCAGAAGAATGGACGACAGCAGAAGAGGCTCGACCGTGGGCTTGAGACCATTGGCTTTGCCATTTATAAGGTTTCTCAGAATAATTTGATATTTCATATGAAATCAGTACCTAGTCTGTATTTTGACTTTTTTGAATAACTGACTGACGTTCTAAAAAAACTGTCTGTTTCCTTTTTACAGGTCCCAGATGAGGTCTGTATTTTAACTGGTACACTGCTCCAGTAATGATCCCTTTCTAAAAAATTACATTTTAAATGCAAAATAGACATTACAAGATGTCATTAAGAGGATCACTTGATTGTACTGTGAATTTCTGGGCTGCTGTCTGACATTCTTGTAATAAAAGTCTCCTCCTGCTAATCTTCAGTACAAAGGCCGCAGCAATGTTCATCTCGGACCTGATGTCCTGCTGCGACAGAGAGCTGTGGCCATGAGCAGCAACTTTATCAACACACGTGAAGTGTGTGACCGCTTCAAACTTCCTCCAGGGGAATACGCCATCGTTCCCTCAACCTTCCACCCTCACAAGAACGCCAGCTTCGTTCTCAGGGTGTTCTCAGAGAAACAGGCTGCAACCAGGTATCTGTGTTCCAGTACTAAGCAGACTGACTGATGTTTGCAGGGTAATGTAGACATCAGAGCTTTAGCTCATACAGCCATCTAGTGGACAAAGCTCAGTATAGTCTCAAATTGACAGTCACGGCTACTTGTTATATCCTGGCATATCAACAGAAAGTACTCAAGCTGTGCATTTCTATTTTTTTAGTCTGCTGGAGGAGGACATTGATGCTAAAATAGAAGAGGTAAGAAAATCAACAGAACGATAAACTGCTCTTTCTTGCATTAAAGGTCCCACATTTTATAAATTGAGATTTCCATGTCTTGTTTGATTATAAAGCAGGTCTAGGTTCTATATTTATACTGTGAAAGTATCAAAGCGCTCAGTCCACAGAGAAATGCACACAGCCTGTATTCAGAAAGTGATGAGCTGTCAGGACTTCTGTAACTTTGTGATGTGACAACAAAACAGTCACCACCCTCAGACATGGCCCAAGTCCCGCCCACCTGGACCCACCATCCAACCTTGCAGGATTTGGTTTTTCTGAATGTTTTCATTGAAATCTGCAATATTTTTATTGGATCACTTAGAAAACAGTCAGCCTATCAGAGGAGAGACTCAGAGCCTCCTCTCTTCTGATTGGCTCACCGACCTGTTGTTACTAGAGCTTCAGAGAGAAGCCTGAGAGAGGAGATGTAAAACTACACTGAGATGGTTTTTGGTTCTTAAAACAATAAATATATCTTCTTATGGATCAACACTTCAAATGAAAGTGTAAAATATGGGACCTTTGACGTGAAAATGCTTTATATACTATGTTATATTTAATGTACACAAATATTTCAAAATGCCTGAAAATTGAGGAGCAAGTGATTTTATTTGACAATAATGACACAGACTTGTTGTGTGTCTTTCTCTCACAGGAAGAGATATCTGAGAGTGATGTGGATCCTCATTTCAAGCATCTCTTCAAGCAGATTGCTGGCAATGTAGGTAAAACGACATGAGAACAGACAGTAAATGAAATGCATACACAGCTCCAAACCTGGATTACAAATTAAAATTCACATTCTAATATCAAACAGGACATGGAGGTCTCTGCCTTTGAGCTGGTTAAAATTTTGAACAACGTCGTCTCTCACCGTGAGTACTTCAGGAAAGAAAAGTTTGGTTCATTTAGACACGTCATTTTCATTGACTTAAGTCTTGGTGCTGGTTATGTTTTGTCTCTTTCTTGCAGGGTCTGATATCAAGACAGATGGATTCAGCCTTGAGACAGGTCGGCTGATTGTCAGCTTGCTGGATGTATCCTCTTTAAATATGAAAAATGAAAGATACACTCATTTTGTTATGGCGAGAAATATCGCCTCTAATCTGCAAATGTCCTCCCACTGTGACATCATCTTGGTCTGAGTGCACTATAGCCTTGAGGACTAATGAATGACTAATACACGACTAATCAAAGACTTTATATGGTAAGCTTTTTATAAACCTGAACATTCCCCAGAAAGATGAAAGCAACATGTTGGGACTGATGGAGTTCCACCTGCTTTGGAGCAAAATCCAGAAATATCTGGTAAATTGTGATTAATATGGTTTGAAATGAATTATAGTCACGTTGGATCTGTTCACACAACTCATGGCTGCCTGGATGATGTAGGAGATCTTCAAGAATCACGACACAGACAACTCTGGCACCATGAGCTCCCACGAGATGAGAGGCGCTGCCAACGAAGCAGGTACCAAACATCATCAAAGGAGTAATCTCATACAATAAAATCTGACCAATTTTTTTCCCCCATTTTGTCATTTAGATTGTTTAAAAGACAAACTATCATCCTCTGCTGCATTTCACCTTTTGGCAAAGTTTGGTAACGGTTATATGGCTTGAGATTCAGGGATAATATTTAGTTTAGAAAAGTAGCTATGTAGAAATATTGCAGTCAGACTCTACAGTTGGCTGTGCTGTTCACCAGACTCATATTGGACATGTGGGGCCTGTTACTAGCAGACTGGATAAGCCAGTTAGAGGACTCCCTCCCTACACATAGATGTCATTCATCTACACAAAGCAAGCATGGGCGAGGCTGTGCAACAAAGCTCTTTCATTGTCACACAGATGATATCTTACACCCTTTTTACAAACTAAAACTTCCCCAGGATCAGAAATAACAAAACCTATGAAAGTGGCACAAACAAACAAACAAACAAACAAACAAACAAGCGGTAGATGATGCTGTTTTTTCTTCCACAGGTTTCCATGTCAACACCGTTGTGTTGCAGGCCATTGTCGGTCGCTACGCTGATGCTCAGTATGCCATAGACTTTGACAGCTTTGTGGGCTGCCTCATTAAACTGGAAATGCTCTTCAGTAAGTGTCAGCAAATACACCAACACCACTTCAACACATTGTGTCTCATATTAATCTGTATCAAAGAGCTGTGGCGTGTTTACATTACCAATATTTTCTTTCTCTCCCTCAACCAGAAATGTTTAAGGCTCTGGAAAAAGCTGACTCGAGGAAGATTGAGCTGGACATGCAACAGGTGTGTGAGAGGATAACAAAAGCTGCCGGTTTGTTGGCACTCCTAGTTTAGACATCTTACTGTGTGATTGTGTTTATTTTTACAGTGGCTGTGCCTGGCGATCTACTAGCTCTGCAGACAACACAAGCAAGGACTTCAGCAGGAAGACAAAGTTCAGCTATCAATCCATTACAACTCACATTTAATTTTAGAGATTAGGTAAACCCAATGAGCGAGTCATTTCACATATACTCTGCATCTTCCAAATGCTTAAAATGACATTTGCTAAACATGTACATGGGGAAACTTATGTCAAGTGAAAATGTCAAGAAAAATAAAGAAACTAAGAAACTATGGCCTCTGGATTATTATTCTTATTTATAAAATCTTGCACAGTTCACACAAATTAAATGGTTAAAATAAAGAATAATCTGAAATATGAAATATTCCTATGAAGTCATGCTTCACTGTCCCTTCACTGTTTTCTAAATGTTGGTAAGAAATTATTCATGCAGTAACAGTAACTCTGGTGCTTAGTGGGGCCAAATGAGGCAGAAATATTGTAGACATTTAACCCGACTGATCAAATTTTTTGTGGACAAGAATATGAGCTGCATCCTGGCCGATCACAGGCGGTCAATCAAAGCCAGATGTACAAAGGGCTGGATGAAACAGGTGAGCCAGAGCACACTGTCTGGTCTGGCAAGGGTGTGGAGACTGTTGATCTGCATATATGAAACACAGCCTGTCTAACTACACAGACATACCAGTCACAGTCGCAGACAGAGTGGACGTCGTACAAGTCTCTAAAATGTCAGGCATTGCAGCCAAGCTTCAGCACAACCGAGAGCGAGCACATGGAATTGGAACCAACTCTCACGCGGTGAAATACCTGAACCAGGACTATGAGTCGCTGAGGAGAAGCTGTCTGGAGTCTGGACAGCTGTTTGAGGATGACTGCTTTGAGGCTCTGCCCTCATCCTTAGGCTTCAATGAACTGGGACCAAATTCCGCCAAAGTTCGGGGCATCACCTGGAGGAGACCCATGGTGGGTACAGTAGGTAGATGGAAACATCTGCATCTTTTAAAGATTATAACTGCAGTCTCGTTTAGTCAAAGCCTAAATATGGGTGTGATTCAATGCACGGTTTTCCTGCAACGTGTCAGCACCCAAAAGATGCTACATTTCATACCATAGCTATATGAGTAAAAAAAAATCTACTGTTATGATATCCAGCAAAACATAGTGAGGTGACAAATTGTAAACCAAATAAATTGTTTCACAGGGTTTTTTTTTCTCCTCATTTTCTTCAGGAGTTATGTTCCAATCCAAAATTCATAGTTGAAAATGCGACCAGGACTGATATTTGTCAAGGAGCACTGGGTGAGACACACACAATTGCATGTTCATGACACAATCAGATATTTACAGTATCTATTTCCATATATTTCCATCCTCAGGCATTCCAAAAATATTCAAATCATTTTGCATGTGTATCTCAGACATCACAGTTAGAAGATATGAGCACTGTAACAGCTCTTCATGTTGACTTCCCTCTGTCTTTCACTGTCACCTCACTTATCCTTTTTTCTAATTTTACATTGAAATGACATATAAAACTTTTAGTAAATTCCCATGCACTGACATGAGCTTTCACAAAGTGCCTTATAACATCTCCTTCAGTCCTCTCTGTCTACGCCCAGTCTGCCTGTGTGGGTGAGAATGAGTTGTGTTTGCAGCTGCTGAGCAATGTGAGAGAGTCGTAACTCTGCACAGCTGAGGTGTGTTTGCATACCTGTGCAAACTGAATATCTTGGAGATGAGTCACAATGACTAAAGTTATTATAAAATGTTAGAGCATTGAATCTCCTGTGTGTGTGTGTGTGTGTGTGTGTGTGTGTGTGTGTGTGTGTGTGTGTGTGTGTTGTGTGTGTGTGTGTGTGTGTGTGGTGTGTGTGCGTGACATGAGATTTTACACAGGAGTCCCCTTTATTCTAACACTGTTTGCTTGTGCTCAGGTGACTGCTGGCTCCTGGCAGCTATCGCCTCATTGACTCTCAACAAACAGGTTCTGTCTCGGGTTGTCCCCCATGACCAAAGCTTCGAGGAGAACTATGCCGGCATCTTTCATTTTGAGGTAGAGCACAGTGAAACGCTCCACACCTGCCTTGTTTTAGAGATGAAGTGGCACAAACAATTTTGATTTTACTTGTTGTGTCGTCTCAGTTCTGGCAGTTTGGTGAGTGGGTGGATGTGGTGGTCGATGACCGTTTGCCCACCAGAGATGGAAAGCTGCTGTTTGTTCACTCAGAGGAGGGCTCAGAGTTTTGGAGTGCACTGTTGGAGAAAGCCTACGCCAAGTATGGAGCTACAGAACATCTGGATACCTTTCTGTCGGTTTCTCTTTGTGTTCTAATCTTTTATGAATCCTTTTCCCTTCAGGCTGAATGGATGCTACGAGGCTCTCTCTGGAGGCAGCACCACTGAAGGTTTCGAGGACTTCACCGGAGGCATAGCTGAGAGGCATGACCTGAGCAGGGCAGATCCCCATCTCTTCAAAATCATTAAGAAGGCCTTGGACAGAGGCTCCCTTCTGGGATGCTCCATTGATGTTTGTTTGGGCTTCTTGTTTCACTCTTGTGTAGCATGGTTGGGGATTTTATTCTTGGAATCTGGTAGTTTTCAAGCTCACAAGTTTATCCTCTCCATCCCAGATCACCAGCGCGTCCGACTCCGAAGCTGTCACATATCGCAAGCTGGTAAAGGGCCACGCCTATTCAGTGACAGGAGCGGAGCAGGTGAGCAAATGTGTTTGTCCACTGTTTACCACACAGGTCATCCAGGTGCATGTGAAGCTGCAGTGGCCACAGTGGCAAATAAGTATGCTGCATATTGTGATAGATGCTACAATTTCATTTAGCTGTGCTATGGTTCTACCCCTTTTTATTATATTTATATTGTTTTTAGAGTTTCCCTTTTCTATCTTTTATTCTGATCGAGAGTAACTGACACCTCATTCTCTGGCAGGTGGAGTACAGAGGAGGCATGGAGAAGCTGATCAGGATTAGAAACCCATGGGGTCAGGTGGAGTGGAATGGAGCCTGGAGCGACAAGTGAGTGTTGTGCACTTTTTGGGAGTTTTAATGGCAGGACATAAACAATAGACATGCGCATATTAGCTCTAAGTTATTAGCTATTAGTTATCACTGGGAACCACTCCAGAGAGGTTATAGCCCGTTAGCATCACGTGGCTTGAGGGAGGCCAGTGTGGGTTGGTCCAGGCTGAAATATGGCACAGATATCCATGGTGCCCAGAGGATGAATCCTTATCCTAATCTTAATGACATTGGTGATCCCCTGACTCCCTCCTCATTTGTGGTTTTGAGTGAAATATCTCTACAACATTTGAATTCATTGCCATGAAAATTGGTGCTTCTTATAAATGAGCTTTCTCATCTCACACCTCTTGCGTTGTTCATACACGCTAGAGGACCCAGCCTAATTGAAACACCTATTTGTTTTAGGGTTTCAAGGTTATTAAGTCTTTGTTTATTTCATCAAGCATGCAACACACAGAGACATACATACACACCCAGTGGAATGGCTGGTAAATCCTGTTGTAAAATAAGCCTGTTGCACAGTCTCCGGTTGTAAAGCTTACTTCTGTGCTCGAGGTGGCATTCACCGTAGCTCCTGGCCACCTCTGCCTGCCTGCCCTTCCGCCTGTTGGTAAATAACTCACGACTGCGTTTAGCTCCAAGGGCAGAGGTGAAACTTGTGAACAGGCAAGGCAGGCCGCTGCTTGGTGCCCCGAGGGCTAACAAACTCAACTCCACAGATGATTTACAGTGTTATCTCAGTTTTCAGTAAAGCCTGCACATACAATCACAAAGTTTCCAACACCGCTCAGTAGGAAACCTCCTTAATATCTTTCTTTTTTTCTAGTTCTTCTGAATGGAGATATGTGAGCTCTGATGATCGGCAGAGGCTGACCAACCGCTCTGAGGATGGGGAGTTCTGGTAAATCTCACTGAAACCACTTTTCTTCACCAAGCTCCACACGTCAAACAGAGGTTTACAATATGGTTTAATCTACTAAATACCCCTGTAATAACACCGCAGCAGTAAATGGGAAATAACCTCAGTGTATCCATTTTTAAAATTATGTCTTAAAGGGCAAACTCATCACTATTGAGTGATATGAACATTTTTCTAAGTTCCTGTATTACATTAGAGTAAGCAGTGTTAAGGTCAAAGGTCACAATGTCCAGCAAGCAAATAAATCCCTGGATTTCTAGCAAGAAAAGATGTGATTTTTCCATTTTCCTCACTCTGCTTTTCCCACAGGATGTCATTTTCTGACTTCCTGCGCCAATACTCTCGCCTTGAGATCTGCAACCTCACCCCTGATGCTCTCACAGGCGACGAGTACAAGAAATGGGCAGAGTCTGAGTTTGAAGACACATGGAGAAGGGGCGTTTCAGCTGGCGGCTGCAGAAACTATCCAAGTACAACCAGTTTTACCATCTTCCCTCCAGATTTGAATCCAGTGCTGGCTCATATGTGTCATGAACTAACCCTTACTTCCCTTTCCTAGATTCCTTCTGGATGAATCCTCAGTTTGTCATAAAGCTGGATGAGGTGGATGATGACCCTGATGATGATGAGGAAGGCTGCACCTTCATTGTGGGCTTGATGCAGAAGAACAGGCGCCGTATGAGGAAAATGGGGGAGGACTTGCAGACCGTCGGCTTTGCCATCTATGAGGTAAGAAGCTGCCTTTAAGATGACAAAGTCAGTGATAATACTTGCGTCAGTAGAGACAGTATTTGCTGCGTTTTCACATATTCCCACATTTTTGATTTTTCCTCTTTTTCTAGCTGCCTGAGGAGGTATGTAAGCAAAGATGAAGACACTTGATGAGCCTTCATTTTTCATGACGAATGAGTATTCAACTGTTGCATTATTGCTCAATTTTCAGCCCTAAAATTCAAACTGTCACGCAGATATTTACACAATATATGTGTCATTTTCCAGTACTCTGGCAAAAGGCAGTTGCACCTGAAGAAAAACTTCTTCCTGTCCAACTGTTCAGCGGCGCGCTCCGAGACCTTCATCAACCTGCGGGAAGTGTGCAACCGCTTCAATCTTCCCCCTGGAGAATACCTCATCATCCCCTCCACCTTTGAGCCCAACAAAAATGGAGACTTCTATGTGCGGGTGTTCTCTGAGAAACAGGCTGATTTCCAGTATGTTTGTTTCACAAATAAGTGCAACGTCATAATCACAATAATCAAAGCATTCAAAATGATCATAGAAGTGTGACCTC